GGTTAGGTTAAGTTAAGGCCTTCGCATTATACACCTACATAAACCATTATATATTGCCCACCCCACGGTGTAAAGCCGAACGTAATTTCAATACTATAGCATTAACGCGTGTGGGATTAAAATCATACGGTTACAATGCATTCCGAATTCGACCGTTCAGATATTGTTCGAGATTAGTGTAGCTACAACACGCGCGAACACACGAAATTATATCCTCCTGCTTATAATGAAGTTAAATGACTACAAATTTCACTAAACGTTTTTTTTTTCTCCCCGTAGGTACATCACTTCCGAGCAGACAATTCACATACGCAATAATTAAATTACTGGGCGGCGAGTGGAAAAAAAAAAAAAAACAAATTGATAATTGCATGATATTATAGACACGTCACATTTACGTCTGCCTCGGGTCCTGTGCGCGAATCGTTCCGCATAAAATATACGAATTATCCTTTGAATTTTTATCGGTCGTCGATAGGAAAAAAAAAATTATAATATCCGTCCTCAAGGCGCATCTGCATCGCACGGGCGAGAAGTTTAGATGAGAATATTATTTATAACCATCGTATTATTATACTGGAATTTTTTAGATTATAATGCATAGGAGATGCCGCGCACACGTCGATGTTTATGACGGAAAATTACAATAATTTTTATCCAAATGATTCGCTTAGTATACATTATCTCGGCTACTGACAGCCGCAGTGAAGTTGAAAATTAAAAAATACGTACGTTGCGCACGTCAACATTGTGCAGCGTTTGAAACGAGAGATTTATATATGGAGAGGAAAAATATTTTTAAAACGTTTCATATAGCGGTAGTATAGCTGAATTACTCGGTATTTCCAGGGTTCAACCTTATCCCTACATCGCAGTTAATCTTTGTTGCCCGGTAATTTATTTCTTTTAAACTTGCTTGTCCGTGATAGCCAAATAAAATAATTTATTTTTTTATTTTATCCGTATCATTAAGTTAGCCCAGAAATTAACCAAAAAAAAATGCATTATTTTCGTATTAAAATATAACAAAAAATCAAATTTTAGAGTTACCCTTTAGAGTTTATTTATAGCGATTAGGGGTTAAATTCGAGATATAAAGTAGACAGTGACGTTCTTCTCGTTTAAAATGTTAAGTGTACAATGTTTCATTGAGATCAGAACAAAATTGTAGATTTGTGTAGTGGACAGGCAGACATACAGACAGAATTTAAATTTTTTTATAAGAGATGCAATATTCGAACGATTAACTTGACGAATTCTCACTGATTTTTTGTTCAACGGAAAGCCGATACATTTAAACTAAAAGTAGGTATAGTTTTTAGTTGTATTTAGGGCCTGGACGCTTCAACGCAAAATGCATCTTTTTTTGAGATATATTGGACAATGCTTTTCAAATATCTTTGTTTGTACATTTTCGTACGAATGGTTTTTCTTTTTTTTTTTAGAAACACCACAAACGCGATAATTACGTGTTTATCTATAGGTATCTACCACATAGGTTCTATAACTTACATCAATTTTCACTATTGCGCATTGTTTTGCTGCTGTGTTTGCGTGGACTGACGCAAATTAAATATTTAATTATATTTTCATAATATTGTTATAACGGTCGGTGTTATCCTTGTTATTGCTTGTTGTATCACGGCACGTACATTATATAGACTATAATACAGAAAGTAATTTGATATTGTTTTTCTTAATAAAAAAAAAAAAAACAGAGACGATACAAAGTAATAATAGTTAAAAACATAATCCGTGCATTGTAAATGTGTAATTTACAAAAAAAAAAAAAAAAATGAATTTTCTCGTTAGCATTGTTTGACGTTTTATAAAAGAAGTATAATATAATAATAAAACAATCGATTATTGAAGGCCCTAATTCAATATTATTATAAAAGCCCACCTAAAAAAGAGAAAAATAAAAAATGGGAAGGTACAGGATATACATAAAGTCAGGTATTTTATTATATGCATTGATAAACCGTTTTATAAATAAAAAAAAAGATCCCGAGCGACGTTGAAAAGCCGCAATTTTCACGATTCTCATCGACATTTTTCGACCCGTCGGGTTAAACTCGTAATGAACCTCCTATTCGATTTGCGAGCGTTTCTGTCCGCATCGAATCGAATAAAAACGAAAAAGCTACAAAACGTTAAACGCCTGTAAATAATTCAACAATCCGTTCGCGTCAGGAAATAAACGCTAAATGGTATTGCATTATACTAATTATTATTGCGCATTGTCCGTAACAGGATCCGGTGTGGCTGCGTCCGACGCTAATGAAAATCGACAGAGTGGACGATGGCGGCACGTCGAATGTGCGATTCCAATCCAGAAATCCGATCGACGAAACGCCCCTCCCCCCCCTCCCCAACCCCTCGCCGCCGTACGGTATAGATTCCGTACGCAGCTAATAGACGCGAACGCCGGAATTCCGGCACGGCGTTGAAAACCGTGTGAACGCAGATTGTGTTTCGGACAAAACACCAAGTGTTTCGGATTCGCGGAGTGGATCGATCGGCCATCGAAAATCCGTTCGGGCGTTTCGACGTACGTGCCGCCACCGCGTGCGTGCGATGTCCCGCCGGTCGAGTTGCCGTTCGATTATTTGCGAGACGCGCCGATTTTTCGCCGTCGCTCCCCGCTCGGTGTCTAAATCGACCGGATATAATCGTTTCACCGTCGTTACAGACTGCGGCGAACGCGTAACGGCGATGTTATCGGAAACAAAACGAGATTTCGCCGTAAAAACGGAATGAACAATTTTCGATATATTATTCGACATCACAACAGTCAATAAAACAAAACAGTTTTAAACATTTTTTTTTTTTTTTATACGCGTAACAATTATTATATTCGGTACACGATGCATTGTAATATTATACGTATATTATTGAACCCCCCCCCCCCCCCCGTTAAACGCAATTGCGGTCTAATTATATAAATATTTTTTTTTTTTTTTTTTAATTTTACTACCCAATTATTATTTACCTTAATAAATAAAAGGTTCGTCTAATGGCAAAACAAAATACGGTTCCGGTGCGTTTATAATATTATTGTACAGTAGCGATATAACGATGATTTTTATATCGGATAATTTGAAAGAAAAAAAAAAAAAAAACAAAAAATTAATCAATAAATAAATAACGCGCGTTATCCTCGCCCTTATATTTCTATCACGTCTGCGTGTAGGCGGACGCCTGCTGGCTGCAGTGATCGGATTCCCGTTAAAAAACAATACATTTTACTAACGAAGACGCAATACCTATCATCCCGCGCGTGGTCTTTCGATATACACAACAATGTAGGATTGATGTTTTCACGTCGTTTTCGAAGTGGCGATAAATCGAACGTTTGAAACGTAATTAGTCTTTCTTTGGAAAAAAAAAAAAATAATAATAATAAAAATCACACGAGTATTATTTACCTGCCTGCCTACGCGTTCGAATGATATATCGTAATGCAATTTATATTGATATCCGTTGGCCATCGAACACGAATGAAAACGTCGTAAATTGTTGACGGCGTATGGGAGGACGAGGAGGAGGAAAACGAAAAGGAATGCGATGGTGTCTGATCGATTGGGAAAATACATTTTTTTTTTTTTTTCAGTCGAGTTATTCGCGGTAGAGATGAGATGATATTATTATTACACCAGCAGAGGTACATACATCAACCGTATTGTCGTACGCGGGGATTTCAATAATGACGTCATAAATTTTTTTTTTTTTTTTTTCGAGGAACTGCTTTACGCACGAGGCAAGTGATGTAACAAGCGAGTCGATAAATCTTTGATCTCACGGGAGAAAAGGGAACAAATCGATTTCGTGCAGTTTTCAATACGCGCAAATTAAATGTTGAAAACATAGCCCGAACGTCCGGCCTAATCACATGCACATGACCGTTTTACCAAACAAAAAGTAGGTACTACATCATATAATGACTTGAGATATTTCAGAAAACGCATATACATGCTCCATCTATGCCGAAAAATAAAATGGGAAAATTGACTCGAGTCCTTTATGGAGACCAGAAATATAGTTTTCGAGCCGTACTCGAAGTAAAACACCGTAATCGTAATTCGACGTTTTTTCAAGAGAGTATTATTTTGTTTGAAACGCGTGTAAATTATATTTTTTTATTAAAAACGTTATTAACGTTAAGTTCAACGCAGACCCGGGCGAGAAATTTCGAGAATGCCCGCGAGTCTTGTTTCGTTACGTGTTCAAACGCTATTATGCGAGAGTATTATGGCGGCGAGTAACTCGTTCCGTGCGAAATTTGCGTTAGACGTGTTATTGTTATATCGCTCGCCGCGTTTAAAAATAAAATATTATTATTTTTTTTTTCTACGAAATTCGTAATAATGTCGATGATATTAGTAGGGCCGTAGTTGGATTAAATTCTCGCGATAGGTTTTTCAATTAAATCGTCCGTGATTTTCGCTACAAACCTAATTTGCATTTATCATAAAACCGATAAACCATTGTTTTGAAGGAAAAAAATCGAGGACAGTTTGAAACTCCGGAACCGCCCCTCGGATGCGGCCTCGGAAGTACGTCTACGGGCGAGTATCGTGATAAATGATTTATTATTTATGTACAAAAATATTTTTAAAACGAATGCATAACATTAATGACGTAGGTATCTACTTATAAGAGTACATAACTATGTTCGTATTTCTACCTTAAGATAGATTGTTTGGCGATTTTTCAAACACTTACACAAAAATAAATTACAAACAAAATCGAATAAATAAACAATAATATAACAATGATAATATAATACGTAAAAATAAATTATATATATACATATATATATATATAGCGGTTTCGTCCGTATATACACACATATATATATATTGGATTTTTTTTTGTTTTTTTTTTTTTTGATTTTTATCATAAATATTAAATATAGTTGCGATCGGGACCTTTTGCCGACCGCGACGCTCTCTCGTGCTGTAATAATTGAACAATGAATTCGGTTTTAAACGCGACGACTACGGGTAAATGTTTTGCAACACTTCGGAGTACAAGTTGTCGTAGGCGTTCTGCAACAGGAACACTTCGGCGGCCGGCCGGCCGTTGAAAACGTACGGGCCTTTGTTCAGATTGTACACGGGCGAGTCCGGTTGCTGTATTTGCAATTGCTGTTGCGGCTGTGTCGGTTGCGGTTGCGGACGCCTTTGCGGCTTCGGCCTAGTCGACGATTGATGGTGTTGCTGCTGCTGTTGTTGCTCCTGCTGCTGCTGTTGTTGTTGCTGCTGCTGCTGGTAATACTGTTGTGGGCTCTGTTGCGGCAGGGTGTAGACGCCCACGGGCTTGCCGTTGGCCACGAAACTCAGGGGCAGGTCGAGGAACGGCGAGTGCGGCCTTTGCGTAAATGGCGGTGGTTCCAACCGGGTCGGTTGACTGACGTAACCGTAACCGGGCACGTACATGTACGGCTGCGGCGGCAAACGGATAAAGTACATGGGCGAGTCGGGCTTAGCCGGTCGCGCGCGACCGGACAGCCGCAAAAGGTCGTTGTCTTCCCGGCCGCCGTCGCCGTCGTCGTCGTCGTCCCGGTTCTGCTGTCGCAACAGTTGCTGTTGCTGTTGGTGGTGCAGGTACATCGACGGCAAGTCGTCTATCACGTCGTTGTACTGCTGCAGATCGATGCCGCCGCCGTGGAGATGATGGTACGGGGACTGCGGCTGCTGGAACTGCAGCGACCTGGACCTTTTGTTGTTGTTGTTGGCAGGTGGTTCCGCGGCAGCAGCGACCCGCGACGGGGTAGGCGTAGGAAAGGCGGCGGCGGCGGCGGCGGCAGCGGTGACGGTAGGCAGCGGACGGCACGGCCGTACGACGGCGAACATTCCCAATACGGCAAAGACCAAGTATGTGAGATCCATAATAACTGCGGCGACCTGTGTACAAAAAATGCGCTCGGTTTTAGTAAATCGGATACAGCGAACATATTACGAAACACGTATATGATTATCGTAAGTGTATGCCGCGCGCAGGTACGTAAGCGCTATCGTATAACAACAGTTAGGTTAGGTTATACGTACAATACTCATTATACTCGCGGCCGTGTATATAAAATAAACGATAGATATTTCGATAATGCTCTGCGCGGGTACTTATTTCGCTAGTATGGCCCGAGACGCGGATACGGGCGAAAACCATTGAAAACACATTTCGAAAATCAGAATTCCAGATTCACTTACGACGGGTATCGAGAACACTGAAACCGAATTCTCGTAAACACCCAAATCCGAAATCCGATCTCCGGAGTGTGTGGATAGTTAGCGAATTGGGCGATACGGCACGAAGTGTAGCGTTCGAAAAAATTGTTTGCAGTTATAATAATTTATTAGTATCGTATAGTCAAGAAAAGAATAATCGAATAACACACTGTTATGATCGGTAATAAAATAATAAACTATGAACAATATTTTATAAACTTTATTATCGCATTACAATTCATAATGAAATAGTCGAGAATTTATGTTACAAATAAGAAATATTTTATAAATTAAAATCATGGACGTCGTTACTAATTTGGTAAAAATCATCACTAACTATCCCAACTACTACAGCGTAATCAAAATCCGGATTTCGGATTTTTAAATCGAACGATTTTCAAGTATTCTGGGTTTCGACCAGACCAGACCAGACCAGACCTCTGTTTAAACATTTTTCCCGGACGCCAAGAGTGGATACAATAATAACACAGATGGGTGCACGTAACGAATGGGTATAGTAGCCAAATATAGTTGGCCCGTATAGATAATAAACACCCGGACGGGACGTCACCGAGTGGGGTCACTACATTTCCGCGGTTCGTGACTGATAACAAGTGTCTAATGTCGTTTGTTTAAATTTGTTTCATACGATACAGACCGAATTATACGCATACCGATGAACTCGTAACATATTATCATAATTTAAAACTATTATAATAATCTTCGTTTACTGATTGTTCATGGTTTTTTTTTTTGTGTGCTAACAAATTCTCGGAGTTAACGGACGGCTTAAAAATCAAAAATGCCGACACTTCAGCCGCATGTCACGGCAGTCGTTTTCCGCCTCGCCCGTGCTGCGAACGACCCCCGCGGACTAAAACCGGGTACGGTATAAAAAGCGCTGCGCTGCGTGCGGCGGCTGCAACCGGAATTACTATCATCATTATTATTATTATTGTTATTATTCAGCGACGGATCGCTTCTTATCGACCGGTCGATTTGACGTTAATAGGCATACGAGGTGTCGGACGACGCGTTTTATTTCTCGGTTTGGTCATCGCTCGTACCGTACGGTAAATTATGTATAGGCATCTCTGGTATACCGCGCGCGCGGAAGAACGAAAACGGATTTCTCGGCGAATCCGTTTGAAAAACATCGTATAGGCACATCATAGGTAATATATAATATAATATTATTACGCACTATGTGTACACTTACGCCGCACATAATATTATAACCGGACCGCGTGCCGTCAGCTGAATCCGAAACGGTCATCGGACAGCGGTCCGTTAATTTTATGTTATTAAACATTTTTTTTTTTTTTTTTTTTTTTTTTTTTTTATATTATTTTTTATTGCATAGTATAGGTCAGTTTTATCGCCCGCGACCGCGGAGTACGTTATACACAATCGGATTATTACCGGCAGCACGCGTGTATTTACAGACCGTTTCCGAGTTCGGTACCCCGAGCGGTACATTATGTAAATAATACTCGAACACGTCTCGGTTTTTCATCGACCGAGTTTTAGGTATACACTCGGGACACTTCCTCGAGGCATCGTCTCGGATTCGGACCTATTAGGTATAGGTCGAGTCTTATAGAAGTCTTAACATCTCTTACGACTTCTGCAAAACCAACTGGATTACGTTTCGGTTCGGGTCCAACTTGGGAATAGAGTTTGTAAATACGCTACCGGGAGACTCGTAATTTTTTTTTTTTATTTTTCTCGTTGAGATTCTCGGGGCGCTGTTATTTTAATTTTTTATATCCGAGACGTATTCGACACTCTATACTTAACGCCACGAACCAGTAGAAAGCCGTAAAAGAAAAAAAGAAAATTAATAATTACTTAGTTTTGCAAATCGTATAACGTGTAAAAATAAACAATTGCAATATTTGTTATTACAACGCAATCTTATCGTTCTATTATTATTATAATACTTATACTTCTATACTCATAAATCGAAAAAAAACATAATATTAATAAACTTGTTGTAATACAGGGTGATTGTTTTATCCAATGATATTCTTGGAGAATTTCATTAATTTAAATTTTATTTAGTTCTCCTTCTCCTAATACTTACCTTAAATTAGTAGGATTTACATTTTGATTTCCAAACGGTAACTCCCTGATTTTCAATACAGTTTCAAAAAAAGAATATTTGATTTATCGAATTACAACAGTTGAAAATGCTAACGACCGCGGATGAGGGTAGTAAATTTTGTATATTTTTAAGATTAATATCTTCTTGTTTTATTTTGTTTTAGTTTTTTTTTTTTATTATATCTGTCTCTTAAAGTCCTAAGTCAATGTGTGGTTACTACGTGGAGAAAACCCAAAATCAATCACGCGATTTCACTCGAAATCTTCGGACGTATGTGCGATCGCTGGATCGCGATGAAAAAAGTCACCCTGTATATAATATACTTACGCGGCTATAATAATAGCGATTACTGTTAAACGCAATAAGTATTGTAAATGCGAGCGTGTTTTTTTTTCTTCTAATATCATACAATCGATAAAAAAAAAAAAATTATATATTCTATCCGTCTTGTTCGTTTGGTTTTTTTCTTCATTTACACCGCTTACGGACCTATTTGATTTATTGCGAACGAGTTTTTTTATTGGGAAAAAAAAAATCACATCCAACAACAGATCTTGTCCTTTTAATACGCCGCGGTGGTAAGACAAAAAAAAAAAACGTTTTCGCGGATTTAAACAAATTCGTTAAGATCCGCATTTTTACACGTCTCTGTCCTTTTACGTATACCTATATAGTAAAACCTTGTAATGCCTTGTACCTTTATATTCTTGATTTTTAAATAATTCTTTTTCCGAAAATTATTGCTGTACTTTAATACTGATGTGACGCGCGGGTTATTTTTTTGGCGGAATTCCATTTTTAACGTTTTAAGTATAGCGAAGAAAGTACGAATTTTACTGAGGTGTGTTTTAGTTTTCTCGGAAAACACGTTTTCGGCCAGTGAAAATGCTCGGGTTCATTCATATCATATATACTTAAAAAGATGTCAATGTTTGGCATCGCGACAGTTAATTTGGAAACGTTTTCAAAATGATCAACAGTTCGTCCCCGTGATCTTTTTAGTTTCTGAGCACAGCGAGGAATGTAAGAGGAGGGCACAATGAGACACGGGGTTTAACTATAGTTATTTTTTTTTTTGTACAGAATTTTTCGTCTGATTTTGGATCTTGTTGGTGTATGAGGACATTTTTAATTTTCCTCGTAATTTTCCGAATAACTTTTTCAGTTTGTAAAAATGGATAAGTAACGTTAAGTGAGTGAAGCTAAACACCCATTGATTATGTATACTTGATTATGTGTGTTTACTTCTTAAGGACTTGATTTGGGAGGTGGGGATTGGCTGAGTTTTTTTTTGGGAGGGGGGGGGTGATAAACAACTCTGACGTATTTGTGTCACCAGTAAAAATGCTCCGAATTTTTAAAATACGCAAAAAATTTCGATGACTAAAGAATGTATAAAAAAAAAAAAACGTTACATTCACCTACATGGTGTTTGACGTTGTAGAATGGTAAAATATATTGTAACGTTATATTCGTTTTTGCACGTTTAAAACGTCACGGGCAATATAACAATAATAATAATATTATAAACCGCGTTTTATTAGGTAATTATTTTTACGCGTTTAATTATGAAAAAAAACCGTTATCATCTTTTTTTATCAAAGCGAGTCAAACGTTTTTTATATAGTTATTATTGCGTATCGTTTTGTATTTTTTTTTTTTACTCTACCTATTGTGAGTTTTTTTGCTTTTCGTTATCGGGTTATCGGCTATATAATTTAATTACAATTTTAATATTACAAAGTACAGTTCGGTGAGATATTTCGCGTAGGTAGATATAATTTCGAATATGATCATTAATAATATGCGCACTCGAAATATATTAATTTGTTTATTGTGCGTATACCTCATTGAAATGTGCACGATTAGTAATTGAATATTATGATTAAAAAAAAATGCGATACTGCCGATGAGTTTGCCACGAAGGAAAGTGGAAATAAGGTAGCATAACATGCGGTAATTTAATTTATATGTGTACGAAACGATAAAAAAAGACGGACATACTTCGCACAATGGATAGGTCACTGTTGTAGATGAGAAATTGGGAAGGTATAGGATATAGAGGGGAATTTTAATACATCTCAAATTTCAAGTCACTGAGAATATATTCAACTGAATTACAATAATTATTTCTAATCGTAATATAGTCAAAAAAGTCTCAAAAGGGTATCGACTCAATCGTATTTTTACTCGAGAATCGAAACTTGAGACCAATAATAAAGGTAGAAGCCGGCGTATTTTAATATCATAACTTTTTTTTCATTATCAGTATTACAAAATAAACATCATATTTTTATTAAATATATAAATCGCAATCATCGTACAAATCGTAACCAAAATGGTTTATAGAATATCGACGTGTACCTACATATCTAACAGTAAATTGGATTGATGAAAAACAGATTTAAACGACGTTGCTTGGTGGGTTTTGGGCGGTAAACGAATACTTAAAGGGTATGGAACAGAGGCGAGGGAACCGATTATCGATGGGATTTCCGCTGTAAGACCCGAGTACACGATTCGAGTTACACCGAAACTACGCAGTACAACTCATAGATTCGAGACGGACCTACGGGTACAATGTGGCATATCGTTTACAGTCGAACCGTTAAACATATAATAATTCGAATGTACTGTATAGGACGATTTTCCCCGGTTAAAGAAAACACACCAAAATATATAATATATAATAATATTTTTTCTACGAGAACGGCATTAGAATTAATTTTCTTATTATTGTCGTCGTCTGTTGCGATTCGTCGGACGGCGCTCGAGGCCGCGCGTATTTATTTTCTCGTTAAAAAAGTGAAAAGAAAATTTCGCGATTGACGCGGCGCCAGTAATAACTAACCGTCACACTCGTCTCGTGCTCTGCACTTAAACCGTACTCACGTGTACTATTACGGCCATAATAATATTATTTCGTACACATTTTCGGTACATACACGGACGTCGATGTTATTATTATTTTCACTTTTCGTTCCGTCAAATTTTCAGTACGATGACCGGTACTCGGCAGCGGCTATGATGATCTGATGACAAGGAAGAGCAACGGAAGCAGGGAATTTGCCCCGTTCGAGAATTTTTTTATGTCGTTTCACATATCAGTGTGGCATGTTTTTAGTCAAGATTATTAAGGATAAAATGAAAAATGTATACGAAGCCTGCGTGAAGTAGATGAAGAAAATATGGTGACGGATGTACATACAAGAAGACACGGAGGGTATCGGAGTGGCTGACTTGTTCGGGGAAAACGTGAAGAGCAGAAAGAAGAAATTGGCCAAATCCTTCGGGAAAAGTTATTTTTTTTTTGGATTTATTTCTCATGCACTGTGATCGGTATTTCAAAAACGAAACCGGACATAATTTTATCTCGTATATTCCATAACGAGTGTCACATAGTCGTGTCCGAGGCGTGACCGTCGAAACCGGTCGGTACACGGACGGCAAAGATAATATACGAGGATGTGGAATGCACGTCTCGAAATATTTGTATCGTCTACTCAGGTGGGTTTCCGCGTGTCTAACATACGTTGAAAACGAAAAGAAATTATAATCGGGCGACGCAGTCTATCGCAACACTTATAACTCGAAACTGGTATTTCGTTAAATTTCCCGCTGAACACGGATGTTTTGATGGAAATCAAAGCGTTTGAAAAACGATTTAAATCACTGCTAACTCGCAGGATTGGTTTTGTTTTTTTTTTTTGTTTTCGGTTTTCATTCCGGACGTCGAACTGACGGCGAACGACTCGAACGCGACCTTCGTCGCGATAAGTGTCCGTGTCGTATCGGGAAAATTCGACTGCCGGTTATATTCGTCATTCGTAAGTGTGATCGGGAAAAAAAAACAAAGTAGAAGCAGGTATACAGATTTACGAAAAAAAAAGAAAAGAATAATAAATATAAAAAACTACGACAAAGTACAATAATAATGTACTCGAGATGCAGTAATATTTGTGAACTGTGTGATCGACAGCGGCGATTGCAAATTGAAAAAGGACCATTATTTTTTACGACTTTCTGACATTTTCAGTAATTACGGTACAGGAGAGGATATTTTATTTTGTCATGGTTACACTGTAGGTCCGCATTTAACCAACAGCGCACGCACGCGATATGAAAAATTCACAAGTCTGTTATTGTATATTTCATTTTGCGGACAATGTTATAGTTTTCGAGACTGTTGTGGCGTAATTTGATATTCCGGGTGAAAAATGTCGGCGTACACTGTTCGCCGTTGCAATATTTCATTTGTTTTTTTTTTTTATTGATCTAAAACAGTTATGGTTGCCAGAGTTTCATTACATTTTAGACAGTAGTGGTAATTAAAACCCGTTATTTTCTGCGAGAACGTGAAATTTGAGCATAGACATGGTCGGAGAGGGTTTTGAAAGTTGAAACCCCCAAAAGGCACATCCTTGATACTTACACAGTAAATACACGAAAGTTAATCCCCCCGACTTAATTTGGAGAGTCTGTAGGGGCATATAAAACTCAAAAAATACCCCATCTCGTAACAATAAGGTTGAAATTCATATTTAAATTCAACTAAAATTGCGTGATTTCGATCTGAAACAACTTAAATTCCCGAGATCTCGAATTCCCTGGACTCATTTAGTCAAAATGAAGCCGCTAAAATTAATGGGAAATATATGTATGTGCAACAGTAACAATACAGTGCGATGTTTTCTGTTTTCGGGACAGTTCGACAAAAATGTCCCGGGTAATTAATCTCGATCGGTATTACCCGAGGGGATCACGGCCCCCGCACCGTTCGAGTGCTACGCCCAGAAAAACCGCGGTGAACCGGCTGCAAACGGTTTTTAAAATATTCGACTCTTCGTCGAAACTTTCGGCCATTATGTTTTTGCGGGGGCCCCCGGTGTTACGGTGATTACGATCCGGCGGTCGGGCGGACACGTCGCGATTGTTAGGCCGGCCGCGTGTCTGGTCGTTCATCGGACCGGATTGCGTGTCCGTAAGCGTACGCGACGTGCCTCGTCGGCCAGGCGCACCGGGTCAGACGAGTGCACCGGCCCGGCGGCCTTGCAAGGTCGGATTCGTTTTTCGCTCATTCGGAAACGCGACCGACGACGCACAATCAACTCGCGTATAACTATCATATTATAAATAGGTGTATACATAAATGTGTATTTTTTTTTTTTTGTTTTTCATTTATACCGGTCTTTACAACATAATATACGTAGGTACTCATTTGTACGAGTACGCGGCTTTCGTTTCGTTTTTGAGCGTGCGAAAAATTCTGGCGCGCACATAGCCGACGGGTCCGCGCCGGCGGTACGGCCGTTAAATCCCCAAGTTTTGAAACGGATAATTCCGTTTTTTCGAATTAGAATTTAAAGCTTTATTCAAAAACGCGTTTTTCTTTACTCGAATTATTATTATTATTATTATAATCCTTTCATTTGTTTTCGCGTCAAATGCAAGTTTTACTCCATCGGCATCGATAAACGTGCAAAATATAATACGCGCTTAAATATAATTCATAGTGAAGTCTCCCAGTAGCGGCTCGCCAGACGAGGCGAGTGGGACATAGTCTCGTATGCAATTTTATTATTATGTAGAATAAAATATATACTTAATAACAATTACTATACTTTTATGTCATCTTTGAAAATCTTAAAATTAATTTCGTTCAAAATTTATCGGTTTCAAAAATTTACGTATACCAAATGTTTTTCTTTTTTCAAAATAATTATAATAGACTTTAATCATAAGTTTAACATTAATCAAATTGAATGATAAAAATAAGCTTTGTTTTCTATTTCCATTAGTGTAAATAAATTATTATTTGTCAACTCGTGTATGTTAATCTCTCTCCCTTGTAGTTTTCAAAATATTTACGCCTCCACTTATAGGTACAAGTCTTTCTAACCACCACTAAAGTCCCTTGTATAACATCCCGAAGGTTGTACTGCAGGTTTTTTTTAAAATATCATGGTTAATTTAACCGGCACGCTTGAAGAATATAATCGATTATTACGTTTCTCGTGTTTAGAAGACTATCAAATTTAATGTATATATTTTTTTTCAACGTGAGTTCGGACGGATCTAATATGTTTGTTTAAGCAATTACGACAACCGATTTTTGCATAGCAAATGTGTAGTACCCCTAGTACATTTGTAAAGAAGAAATTACAGAAGTCAAAATCACGGAGAATTGTACTTGATATTTTAGGTGTCTATACAGTTGAAACTGCTTGTCAATTAAAATTTAGTAAAAAATCTTCAGCTGACCTTCATTAGGAAATTTTGATTAAGAATCGCCCGCTTATTTTTTTTTCTCGCTATAATAGAAACGATTATTTAGAATTTCTAAATTATCAGAATTTCTAAGCGTCAGTGTCGACTTAATTTTTCATTTTTTACAGGCGGATATCTGCACAATTAGGAGCGGCTGACTGGAAAAATCGGAAGGTTGCTGTATGGAGTATTCCGATACGGTGGTCGTGTAGTATCCCATTACCAGCAAGAAGATATTTGCTCGGTATTATCAATAAACAGGATATTTGTATATAGTCGTTTTATACATTAACATCTGCAAACGGTTGTGAATTATTGTATATTAACCGCGGACACGATATTGTGGATTTGCAGAGTACCTTCGACATGCCGTGTTGAATTTTCGCTACTACTCTCATCTGGCTCCATCTCTCTCTGTCTCTCTGTCTCTCTCTATTTCTCTCACAAACTTTATTATATTATAATTTCCTATATTTTTATTATTCTCGTATACCGCGTAGTCCGCATTTTATGCGATTGCGGTAGGCAATGAAATAATACATCCAATAATAATGGTATGTAAATCGATTAAAATATTCCGGTCTTTTGCGGCGAGTACCTATCCTCACCGTATCTACACGCCGAGACAATGCGCCTTTAATAAAAGAAAAAAAAAATGAAGAATTTGAAAACCAAAACAAACATATCAAACATAATGGTCTGTGTATATTACGGGCGGTACACCCAAGGTTGGACAAGATACTCAAACATAAGTATCATGATACATAATACGTGCATTAAGTGTATCTAGATACAAGATACAAGATACATTGTGGATGTAGAAATGATACAAGGTACATGATACATTGGTACTCCATATTTTATATTTTGTATTTTATTAACTAATAAACGCCTATAAGCTATAGGTACAGTATACGTCTATACATAAATACTTATAAAGTATTTAATATTAAATAATAAATAATTGGGCACAACCGCGAACATTTATTACCGGGTCTCTTCGAGAATTATTGTTGATCGCGTTCGACCTTTTCGATAGACTGAGAACTATTCGAATTTCGAATAGTTTAACGCTATTCGGTTTTGGAAAAAAATACCCCAATAGTTTTTATTCGGTTATTTCGAATGAAATGAATTCGTTTAAACCATCGAAAACTATTCGATAGTATAATAACTATTCAGAAGTGCCCGTAACTAATTATAGTAACCTTCCATTTCCTCTGTCTCGAGCTACTTCACTGAATCGTTGCGATATTCTTATATAGTCGTCTTGAAAATCCTTTTCCGTTTTGGTCTTGTCGGGTTGAAATGTATTCAGCTGTACCGCTAGATTTGGTTTGCCGAACAATTTCCGGATCCTTTTGTTCGATTTCATAACTTTGCGTCTCATCGTTCTTATATACGCCCGTGAAGATTCGACTCGGAAATTTTCTCTCCGTGACAGTTAAAATATCTTATATGTACCGAGTAACTAATAAGTAATAACGCGTTTTATTTTTTTCGCGAACTCATCATAAAACACAAAAAAATATGCAACTCGTTTTCTCGTCGGTTTCCTGCAATCAGCATATACTCCGCGTGCAAGCGGGTTAATGGTTTTTATTTTGAAAAAACAATTTATAAAAACATTCGAATTGTTGACAATTTTAATTTATGGAGCAACTACTCGAGTTTTGACGCTAAAAAACCAGTCCGAAACACTTGAAAACGCGCCGTTTTTTTCTTCCGCGACGATTTCTTTTTTCGCGCATAATATTTTTAACGAAACCGCTAAAATATTGTCACGATCAAACGATATAAAACCCGTCTCAACATGGCGGATACGCTGTATAAGTATCGCGGTCCAAAAGGGAAATTTGAATGGTTTCCTAGTTGAATTTCACACCCGGGTTTAAATAGTAAAACGTTCTCGGAAAAATTTTTAGACATTCTTTCTTCGGTCCCCTCGGGATCCGGGTTTTGTAGACAATTTTCATGAAATTGTAAATCTCGCGAGCCATAAAAACGTTCCGAAATACTCTAAAAACGGAAAAATAACGATTACAGGTTAGATTGACATCGCTTTTAAATTATACGACTGTGATATTGTTACATACCGGTAAATCACCGTTTAACGAATCGAATTATGCGTGCGGAACACGTTATCGTAAATATTAGATTACAGTAAAAATCACAAATGATCTCGCGTCGAGTGTTATTGACACGGGATCTGAATTATTGTAATGTTGCGATACGGGTGTAGTATTGCAACGTTTTTCCTACGGTCTCTTTCGGCCCGAAATCGATTTCCCCCCCCTCCATTACTATGGTAATGTTTTCTCCAGGCGAAATAATAATGCATTTTTTTTTTTTTTTTGTAGTTTGCAGGCCCCGGAAACGGCGGTGGTGGCGGCGGCGGCGATTTCAATAATAATCCAAAACAATAATTATACGTTGTCGTCGTTATTCGTGGAGGTACGCGAGTTAGCCGGTATACCTAATAATAATTGTATTCCGACATTAGAATAATGATTTTTTTTCTTTTTTTTTTTTTCGTTTTATTTCTCTACGCGGCTATACAGCGTACACTTGCGCGCGCGACCGTTTTTCCACTCGAATTCGCCGTAAAAAAAAACCAACAACAACAATAACAACGGATAATGCCGTAACAATCGCGAGTTGTGCACGTGCATCGGTAATATATGATAATAATCATAGTAATAATAATGATACGGCACGATACGATAATAACGACGCGAGTATAATATCGTAATGTCCGATGATTACGCGCCCGGCGATGATGTAAAAATGTTGTAAAACGCGCCGTAACAGGTTCGCATCGAGATTACAGTACCGATTCGCGCGGGCCCGGGCGAGACGACTTTTAACCGATCCCGGCGGAGAGCGCAATCGGTACCGAACAGGCGAGGCGCACGAAATTAGCTACGCGCTCGTCGTGTCTGCGCGCGTGCGTTGTTTTTTTTTTTATTTTTTTCCCATCTTCTTACCCGTCGAAACACGTGCGCGGCCGTCCCAAATGGAAAACGTGCGCGCGTGCCGGCAATGCAAACCCGTAATTTCGCCCGGGATTCGTTTTGGTTTTCTGCCGACCGGCGTGTCTGTGACGTTATCCGCGAAGGTCGAAAACCATCCGTAAAACGCCGCGTACGCGTGCGCGCGTCGACGTACCGATAACATTGCCCCCGATCGCTAATATTGTCCGTTTGAGATTCTGAGCGGTTTTACAACGGTGTTCGGTTTTGTTTTTTTTTTTGTTTTTCTGTGAACGGCTTTTCTATCGAGAATCTCGCTCCGATTTCCGTGTGCAACACCTTTGCCGAAAAGAAATTTCATCTGGATGGTACTTTAAGGAGGTCATTTTTTTTTTTTTGAATTCCCCAGAGGTTTTCATAATAATCGGCAAAAACACATACAAGACAAATTCACGGAAATAATGCTTTAATTATTTTCAGTTTTGATTTTTTGCAAAATAATCGTAGAGACTTAACATGTGGACAAAATGCTTGGTTCTAGACGTGGTAAAATGTTCATTACATTTTGGCCATTTTTGAACTATTTTTATACATTTTAATATTATTAGTTTTATACGTAATTTTTTTTCAGTAGGTCGAGTGGATAAAATTTAACAGGGGGTTCATTATGAGTTTTAGTCAGTGGTCAACAAGAAAAATTTGAATGTAGTATTTTTTTTATAAGAATTTCAATTTCAAATTTTGACGAAAATCGTAAATATGACGGCCATTTAAAACATGTATAACCGAACTCCGCTCAGAATCGTTTTTCGTTAGCCGTGAGTAATCATTGCGTACAGATATGCGTTAAATTCCCCTCTATATCCTACTTTCCCATTTTCTCACCTACAACAGTGGTCCATCCATCGTGCGCGAAGTATGTCCGTTTTTGTTTGTTTTTGAAATCTTAGCGAAAATCGTATTGGATATTTAGATTGCATTGCTTTTACCGATATCGAATACCTATAGATCTATTGCAACTGTTTTGGTGGTGAAATCATTCATTATTATTATTAGCCAATAGGTATTGCATACTGTGACACATTTTCCGGCTAATTTAAATAAACATGTTGATAACTGTAAACGTAGTTAACACTGAATCGTAAAAGGCGAGGTGGGTACACGAACGCGGTCTCCTTTATCCTCCCACCTCTTAACTACGGCACTGATTCGAGACGCTGATTTGTCGATAGTCGGTTCGCATAACACCGTGTTCGCGTAGAATCCAAATAAATGATCGAATGGTCTCGGTTATTTAGGACGAGATGTGCAGACGTCGGAATTCGGAATTTCGAACGCGTAGGCGAACATCTGGACACCGGACTTTCGCAATTTCCACATCCTCGGGCGTTCATTCGCGTTTGAGTTTCGATTCTTTTTCCGGCCCGGTCTGCCGGCGAACGCCGCCCGGAATAATTTTTTCGTTTGCTACACGCGCAAACTCCACCGCGGCTCTCGCCTCGGCTATTCCCGCGCGTACCGAACTGCCGCGGCGGCGTCCCGCGGTGGCGGTGCCGAGCGTACCGAGTCCGGTTTCCGTCCGCGGCGACTTTGCGCGCGTTGTCACCGCGCGGCTTTCCCCGGGGAAACGCCACGCGCACCGTGCGCCCGTTATAAACATCGTCGTTTCGCGTGCGTTATGATCAAATCGGTCGTTGTCCCGCGAACGCGCGGCCGTCCCCGTCCGTTTTTGTCCGACACGCGCCGCCGGCGCGGACAACAAAAACAACGAGAAAAACGGTAAACCGCGCGTTCCGTCAGCGGCCGCGGCGGTAAAATCATCACACGCTACACGGCTCCGTGTACACACGCGCGCGTCACGCGTTTTTCGTATTGTTTTTTTTCTACTCCGTACGACGGCTGTCCCGTTTTCAAAACGCCGACTGCGTTATCGTCTTGCCGACAGCGTACGGGACCGCGCACGTGAGCCGTGTTTTAGATTCTCGCAACAGGTACCGCGGTAGGCATTGCACTGGTCGACAATCGCGTAAGAAGCAAAATTCGAAAACGTGTCCATTGGTGCCTACACGGGACTAGCGACCGGCGAAGTACCCAGAGGGGAGAGGAGAGGGGCGTAGGTTAGGTCAAGGGCGAAAACCTACTCCCGAAGTTTCTCCCTTCGCTGCATTTTTTTTTTTTTTTTTTAAACAGAGTAGTACATCCGACAACATACCACGGCTTATACCGCAGAATAAAATCAAATTTAATTTCATCGAAAATCGTTTATTCGGTAACAGTACTGTATTAATAATGTGTGCTATTGCCGTATCTAGGAAATTATTATAAACAAAACCCCTCCCGGGAAAAAATCCCGCGTGCGCTACTGCTATGGTGATTCCTGCGTTCGCCGAGAGTAAAAAGGAAAGGTATACGAAGGTTCAAGAAACGACATTGCTCCGTATCCGAAAATCTTACCGGTAATCTAAAACGATAGTGACTTTTTACTTTTTAATCCGGTACGATAAAACTTAAAAGAAAACAAATGATCTCTGCGTCTCTAGTTGATTTTGTGTTTAATAGAAGAATGTATACGCGTCATTTTACGCGCAATTTCTAGAAAAAAAACCCAAGAAAGTCGTTAGATATCAACTGCGGTAAGTATATAAGCGCAATGGTTTTATGTTTGCTTATTTGAAATTAATGATCGTACTGCACCGGCAGGCTGAAATAAACTGCGCGGTTTCCGGAGGCGGCGGTGTCGTCGACGAGTGAAACGAGAAAAATAGATTATAAACGTATAAAACGTAATAAAGGGCGGACAAAAGAGAGGAAAAAAAATAATAAATAAAAGGATATTTATTCCATAAACGTATGTGTATGAATAATATAAAAATCAATAATACGAAATAATAATGTTGTTGTGGCGGTATGTGAACGGAAACAAAAGAAATGCAGGCAATGCCTAACAAGTCTTGAATAATGAATTATTATTTATAAAAAAAAAAATAGAATCGAGCCAAATAACCATCGGGTAAATAATATAATCGGGTATTGTTGAAAGGATAACAAATACGGTATAATTACTAAAAGAAAGTCTCGTCGTTTTTGGAAAAGAAAAAAAAATGTAAGAACCTAGTGCCTGGTTGTTGGTGTGTTTCACGCGCGGAGAGTTAAGTCACGCTGGATCCGTTTTGCAGTACGGTTCCGGTGCACCGCGTTAATATTATGACATTTGGCGTGTTTTGGCGGTGCACTTTTAATCGACTTAGTTTATGTCCGAAACACACTCGATTATCGTAGATGGATGCAGTTCTGTATCAAAATGTACTGCGCTTGATACATTTGTATAAAAGCCGGGTAACCAACCGGCTGGACTCTTTCTTCGGCTAGGCCCCCACAAACAAGCCTCAAAATCAATCGTAACCGTTCACAATAGATTCGACGCACCTACGTGCATGTGATTTTTAACTAATATCATGATGGGAATTTTTTCGAAAATGTGTAAACATCCCAAATCGCTACTAATTGATATTAAACCATTGTGCGAAACAATCGCATTGAAACACCGCGCCGCGGCGGTGAAATCGCCTTTGGTACACTGCGGTTGCACTACACTCGACTCCTTGTTCAATATCGCTTTCCAGAGTGACCTTAATGTGAATTACAGTGCATTATTATTATTGTGTTCTGAAAAGTGTGTACACCCATACAATTAATACGCGGACTCGCATTGTAGTGCACCGAACGGGCGCGAGAGAAATCAACAAAAATTATTACGTTATTTCGCTGTCGTTTTCGGAACGCGAAACGTGCGGATGTTCCGGCGGAGGCGATTTCTAAAAAAGAAAACTTTTATACGGTTTTCCGTTTTTTTTATTTTTTTTTCTCGCAAAACAATTCGAACGGTTCCTTTAAATACGGTGTTCTCGTTTTTCCCCTAACTCTTTTGTTCAAAAAAAACTTTGATACATATATTACGAAATACATTGAGATTCAATAAATTTATTCTCATGGGTGTGTACAATACTAAATCGAAAACCTTAGAGAGCCGAACGTTTAATATATTGTTATTTGTCTGGATACTATTGATTTTTTTTTTTTTGTTTTTGTTTTAACAATTTTGTGCAAAACAAAGAACTGATTCTGCTTTTGCGTGGCGCGTCACTGCTTTAGCAAGGAAGTTCGGAGAGAAGATATTATATTATATAAATTAATTCAATTTTGTATTTATACACACCGACGAACTATTAATCGCGAAAAACGGTTCTGAACAAATTATTATTTGACGTGTTTTTCCCTTTATTGCCAAAGTAACCCAGAATAAAAAAATACACGTATATATATATAATTATGTATAGATAAATTACATTTTCAATTTACAATTCCATTTGAAAACTACAAGAAAAATAAAAAAAAAATCCCTCCTCAATGCATCGACTGGATCAAAAATGATCTTTTTGATAAATCTTTTGTACTTGGCAAAAATTGCCGGTGAAAAAGTTGTTTAGAGAAAAGCGGAAAAAAAAAACGAGTACTTAGTAATTAGTGAGTCGTCATTGAAGTGATCAATTCACTTCAAGTTTAAAAAAAAAAAAAAAATTTAATTATCACAAAATCAGCGACAATTTTGAAACGCGACTCTAACACACTTAATCGAGTTGATTATTATCGTTAATTCGCCCGCCATTGAATGAGAGAGACGCCGTTAAACAAGTCCAATCCGATTGATTAAAAATAACATTTAGCCGTGTGCCCGGACGAACTTTAATTATTTGTACACGTCTCTTTGGAACAAAACATCTTTCGGTCAATCGCAATGTGTTTATGGAAAAACGCCCGATCATCGGATAATTGAGACGAAATAATAATAATAATGAAGATAAAAAAAAAAAAAAACGTCACGACGATGGCGGACAATGATTGCGGGCTCGGCGGTGTAGAGATTTTAATTAAATTTTTCGACGCCCTATTATCGCGGGCGCATTGTCGCGACAATAACGGAAATTAAAACCAAAGACATTATAACGGGCGTATCTCTTCTATTGTTGTATTTACGCGGCGGCGTAGGTAGCCAACCAGAGACGCGCGGTACTTATTATAATTTTTTTTTTTTTTCATTATTCATTCTAATTTCATTTCGTGTGTACCTACCTAAGTATGTTATAATGTTGACTGACGCTAATGATAATAATTATTGATCATCTCGTTATCCCGTTGTATTATTGTCTACGTGCGGCGGCCACGGCGTCAACAACGAGCGCACAATAAAATCATTTGCAAACGAGTCGGTCTCTATTGTTATTACAGCCACCCCCGCCCCAACCGGCAATGTCCAGAGGTTTTCCCGGCGCACAGTACAACAATGTCCGGGTATGCGGATTCAAGGCGGCGAAAAAATCTGGACCGGCCCGTGTAGTTGTTGGCCGGTAAGTTAACAGAGTAATGTGCGATTTGTAGAATATTTTTTTCAAAACGTTACGAAATTTGAAACGGTGAAACGGGCTCATATTGTTTGGAAAGAGGTGAAGAAATGGAGTACCTCGGATTGTTCGGGATCGCTCGAAATTTTCGCGAGCGGCCCCGATTTGTTTTTGACTCCGGGGCTCCTATACGTCGATAGACACGCCATTGCGAAACGTTGACACTATTCAATTACAATGTCACGGGTCCGAAAAATCCAAATTTTCAAGTTTGCAAATATCACACACAGAATTTAACAATTTAATTGTTTCCACTAGTTTTTCGTACGACTTATCCAGTACCCGCGCTGTTATTTTATTCATTCCGAATTATAATCCAATAGCGTAAACTTTGAATTCATTTTGTCAAAACTATAGGGCATTTGAACGAATAAAATCGTCAAAAATGACGAGGCTCTTTAATACACGCGCGCCACATACGGACGTTGGATTTTCCGAGATACTGTCCCGTCTTAAAGGTAAAAACGATTCTGATTTCTAATGTCCAAAATTTGTTCAGTAAACTCCGATTATATAATCACGTTTAAAGAATACGAAAATGGCCAACGTGACGAACGAAAAACATCGATCGTTAATATTTTTAATCTAATGACAATAATAATTGAAAACGATGACGCGTCTGTATTGCACTATCTTTAAAACATAATATTCTAATAATAGTACGTGCAGAGGTGTATCGTTTAAAACAAACGTATTTATGACACATCGACGAAAATCGCAATTTTATTTTGAAGTTGAATTTTTCCGTTTGTTTTTAATTATCGTAGGACCGCTGTGGATGCGGGTTTGTGACTGAAGAAGCACAAGTTACGCAATAATATTGCGAAATAGAATAATAATTATAATAATATTATTATACGACAGCCGACGCGCCTTCATTGAGAAAACGCTGGCTATTGAAGTACATACAGTCGTGCTGGTTAAATTGCCTCCGGATAAACTTAAGGGGCTAGATATTTTTGTACGCATAAGTGATAATAATAACAATATAGTTGTTAATTTATAACACTTTACGAATATTGAATATTTTTTTTTTTTATGATATTTCATTAGTCTTCCGGTTTATTTTAGGCGTAAAAATCATATATTGATATCACGAGGAATGAAACGTAGGTTATTGCATTAATTTCGAAAATATGAGTGAATACAATAATATTATGTTAACTAATAACAGTAATATATAATATTATTAATTATCATTTATAAATGAGGGGGTTAAAGGCATAGTAATGTTAGCTACATTAATTTTAAAATTTAAATTCACTTTTAAAGTCAACAAAACAACCGGTTCGTTTACATACGAATGTTGTACTGCCATCTAGTTGTAGTATTTGTTAGCTATGAAGGGGTGGCGATAGGCAACTATAACGACGTTTTTGAACAAATTATAAATTAATTTAAAAAAACATTTTTGATGAACGATACCAAACTTGTTCGCGCAAAACAGATAAAAGTGCCCGAGATAGAATTTTAACATCTATTATGAAATTTGTAGATGGCAAACATTTTGGATACTACTACGTCGACATTTTTACAATTTTTAAAAATATATTCAACTCCAGTAGCATATTTACGCATTTATTGGTGCGTTCGATGTTTTTCATCCTATAAGCACATAATTTCTATAATACAAGTTTGGTATGATTTAGGCGGAATTAGCTTACTAAATTGTGTTAATGTACCTTCTTCCCCTCATAAAAAGAAAAAAACAAAACAAAACAAAATCATAAATACGCCACGGTCATCTCATTACCGAAGACATAAAAGACCGTATTTAAAATTGGTTTTAAACAACTTACTGTTTTGATAATTTATATTTCAAACTGATGAAAGCTGATGAAAATATCGTTTTTTATTCATTTCATAATGGTGATTTCAACTTTCAGATCGGTTTTTAATGATATTATGTTAACATGTTTTTTTAAACATTAATGCACGGGCCACCTTAATTTATAAATACCTAACCTTTATTTAACACCCTTATTTGGTGGTGAATTAACTTGTTTGTTTTTAAAATATTTAAAAAAGTGTATTGTATTAAATTCGTAAACATTAAAATCTATAATTGATTTTACTTAATTTACACTACTGGATCGCAAATTTAAGCAGAAAAGGAATCTTTTTGAAGCAAGCTTTCAGTCGTGGTATAATTAATTTATAGTTTCTATAACCATTCGATGTATGGATTTCCGATACTATCCAGAGTACTAAAATTATACTCCTGGAAAATCGACTTCGAAACGGCTTCGCCTTTATGTTTGATGCCCAGTATTCGACAAAGTAGCGTTGGGATACTCGTATGAATTGCACACGTACTAAATAATTATTAAAGTCTCGTTCGAACGCGTGTATAAATAACGATTTAAAATCAGACAGGTCGTAAACAATAATACAAAAATATTGTAATATCGCGTTCACAGAGTAATTATTATATTAGGAAAACAATAATAACAATCATAAAAAAAAAAAAAATTATTATGGTTCGTTGGAGACCTTAATAATACCATGTGAGAATAGTGACCGGCCCTGAAGAAGCGTCGCGCAGCCATGAAATCCCCCCGGGTCAAGTTATCATTGTTATTGTTATTGTCAACAGGTCCTATAGCAGTTCAACAGGTAAATAATATTATCACTCGTGCGGAAAACGGACGGTGGGTGTACACGCTGCTGCATCACGACATCGATAAATTCGAGACGTTTCGAATCCAAAGCCGTATACGAAACCGTAAATATTACCCATAGGTATTTTTAAAAGCGCACTGTGATGATTTTTTTTTTTTTTTATCACACACGTGCGCGAATTCCCTCGTCAAATAATTTACGCGTTTCAATGTCAAAACTATATTACATACCTATCTATTTTTATTTTATTTTTTTCCGTTAACCTTAACGCATGCACGTCTCGCAGTTTAACCGCCCGCCGTGACCCTTATTATCATAATTTTATTTCCATTTTTATCGCGCATAATATTCGAATATTTAACTAATGTTTTCGTACTGTATCAATATAATATTATGATAAAAGCGAACTACGTTTTAGTGTACATCACGTCTGCTATCTGCCAATAGTAGGCGTAGGTTGCAGCGTTTACACATATAAACGTTTCACCACTAACGACTATTATAAATATGTATACACTTTGCAATGTCTTCATCATCAACATTGTATTCCGTATTATAATATTTTTATTCATTTTTGTCGATTTTATTTTAGACGTGTGTGTGTGTGTGTGTGTGTGTGTGTGTGTGTGTGTGTGTGTGTGTGTGTGCGTGTATTCGGATGTACGTTTTTACGATAAATCATCGACGTGCTCGCGGATATTATAACGAGATCCTCTAACAACGTCCCGGCGACCCTGTACGTGATAATATATTATTGGATTCAAACGAAATCCGAATAGCCGCACGAAATAACGGGCGGTTCGGTTTAATAAATCGAAATTCTTTAACGGCTGATGCACAGCTGGTAGGGTAGGGTATACTTGGGTCGAACGCACGCGATGCGATTCCAATCGTCAATGATTTATTCGTCCGTCTGTGCGTTAAGTGTACAGATACGCCTATAGTCGTATAAATCTATTTATATAAACGGTAGTCGTGTCATTAATAATTATTTAGGACGCGATGGTATCGTGAGGTGAAAAGAATCGAGAGGCGAAAAGGATCGCGAGACGGCCGATATCGAAAATGGGACGTCGGATTTATCGGCCGACACAGAATCCGCCTCTTCCGACCGATAATTCGGTATTTTAGATAGTCGAAAAGAGAAAGAGAATAATATTGACAGAGGTGACTCGGACGACACGCGACGCGAAGGGACGAGGCTGTATTACGAGTAACGTTTTGCAAACGAATGTGCGGACGTATGTTGGCAACCGAGGCGGCCGACACCGGAAATAGTCCGGGAAAAATGAAAAAAGAGAAGAAGAAATATTTCGTTGCGCATGTTATAATAGAGTCCATTAAACGGACCACACGGTTTTTAAAACGAACTGCACACAATTTGTCGGACGTCGCGATACCGTCGAGTAGGCGGTGCACGGCCGCAGTCCAACGGTAATTATCTTCGGTACATTCCATTTGAAGGAACGTTGGTATGAAGTCGGCCGCGCGTAGACTTGGAAGTTCAATTGGAAAGGGTCTTCCCGATTCGATGGCCGCGGCAAACGGATTGTCGTGCGACAGTTTTAAATGATGACGTTTACCTGTATGGAGTGTAGGTATCTATAATAGGCAGGTATTTATTACAACTGTAAGTGCACTCGACGGGCGATAACATCGCCCCGTTATCTCGGTTGGACGACTATACACCATCACTTAGTTAAGTTTAATATTGAAAGCCGTTAAGTTTAATTGAGAACGTCGTCGTCGCGGTAGACCGCTGTACAGTGTCGGGGGCGCCTAATACACGACGGCTCCAGGAAAAACCGCGGAAAAAAAAAAGAAAGAAAAGAAACAACGGAGTAATCCGACGGAAAGGTTTACGGCGACGACCGCTACAACGCGCGAATCAAACTCCGGTATATACCTGGGCACCCGCGGTAATCTTGGTTACACATCTCCGGCTTGTACTCTTACGACCGGTTTCCCGTTCGCATGTCGTCGAGTAGGCGTATATTATTGTTTGTTATTACGTCGTGTTCACTACTGTTCTTACAACGACGTGCGCCCCGCAACGATAATATTATTAAGCCAGTTTTATAAATTTTATATCCGCCAATGTCGTCGTTATCTCTCCTGTAATATTATAACTATTAGCCTACTACAACTGCTCTCGCGACAATAATTTTCTCGTACAATCCAACTAGCTAATGTAAACGGGACTAGGACGCATTAAACTTGGATATAAATGTAGATATTTACAGCGTCTGCGATTCGAAAACGGTATAAATGCCGAAAGAAACGAGTAAACCGCCGTTAGTTTGCATGCGGGTATGCTTATAGTGCGTTCGTATCAACCTTGATTTACTTGGGGAGCTGGGTATATAGGAAAAAAAGCAAAATGAAAAAGAGCAAGTAAAAAAAAAAAAAAAAAAATGTGTACCTACTTTTAGTAATATTATTTTAATAAAAAAAAAAATATGAATATATACTTAGGAAAAAAACTCTCTGCTGTCAGTTTAATAATTATAATGGTATAACAATGCACAGTATATTAACTGTGAAAATAGTGAATTTCAACAAGTAATTGACTTTTTTTTCTCTAAATTCGATTTACTTCATGCATGATTCCGTGGAGTAATATAATGAATCGATTACAGCAACGATTAAAAGTTAAAACCACCTATATTAGGGCAATTATTAACTTATTTTTCTTCGCGGGTTAGTTTCGATTACAAGAGCCGACAGGGTTAAGTTAGGTTAGGTCAGGTCAGCAAAATATTCAACGTCTTGCTAGATCGCCTTGGTCCATTAAACAAAATATAAATCACGTTGTATAATTGACGTAAATAAAAAAAATACTGTCAATACTGTTGCAAATGAGTAGTCACAGAGTTATTTAGATTATAATATACTGTGTGCAATGATTTTTCATTGCAAACTAAAAACGATTCTGAGCAGAATAGCAATCAGAGGGGGTAGGTAGTGCCGGACCTGGAAGTATTGTCATTGATTAATTATACACATTTAATCAATGATATTAGTCGTGTTTTCCTCGTGTTTCTACGCGTTTCTAAAGGAATACCAGAAATCAACAGTAATCAAACAGCAAAAATAGGAACTTAGTATAGTTGAATTGCTGAAAATTTGCGACAAATGTTTCAAATAAAGTATCGAGGGGGTAGGAATTCCGCATATTTTGAGGTATCTACTTCGGGTGAACAAATCGGAGCATTTTTAATAACCGTGTAAAAGAAAATATCACGATATATTGCGTAAAACTAATCGCTCTCTTCTGTAATATTGATAGGTTACTAATATAATACGTGTGAATACACGTATATATGAGAAAAATTCTCGACGGCGATTATCTGTGTGTCCGAGGGAGAAAAAGAGAGTGAAAAAAAAAAAAAAAAAAATTCTGAAGACGTTGTGTGCCGTTAAAAAAGAAGATAAAACCGATCGGCGGGAGGATGTCCGGCGGCGCGGTCTGCGGGTATGGGGCACGCGAACCGCTACCGCAGAAGCTGTTTAATATTTTTACTATTATACTTCCCGGATCCGTTTTATATTTTCGTCGCCGGGTTATAATACACGAGTATTAGTATTACAATGTTGTCGTCCGGCGATTACGGTCGCCGCCGACGCCGCCTCCGATCACCACGCACAATATTCTATGCAAACCGCACGCCGGCGACGACGACGACGGCAGCAGCAGACGAAATAATAACAATAATAATAATAATATATGGAGCAGTGATGAGAGATGACGGACGAAAAACCGTGTAATCGTTGCCGTCGCACATCGACAATAAAATATACATAAAGTATACATTATAATGTGCACACATAGAGGTACGTTTTATTTCACGCCCGAAACAAAACCGAAGAAAAAAAAAAAAAAAAAAAAAAACGAAATGTTATAATAATATATAGGTACTGTGCGCACAGACACACATGCGCTTAGGTTACCGCCGTTACCGCTTACCTAGATTTAAACGTACCTACCTACAAACATAATTGTTGTGACCAGTCACGCGTCATCGTGCGAGCCCGTCAAACGCGCGCCAGGGAGGCGCCGCGGCGACGCGTTTACGATGTTCTCGATCGGAATTGTCGATATAATATCAATTGATGCCGGGAATACTTAATCGATGTGCGTATGCCGATCGTTATAATCGCCGATGGTAATGGAAAAAAAAAAACACCCGTGAGCAGCAAGGCTTCGTCGTTATATAGTGTCGAATTTTCCCTAATCAATTTCGCATGATACAATACTACGCTACACGCTATTTCTATTTATTTATTTAGTTTTTTTTTTTTTTTTTTATTTGCTATCAAAAAGATTACTGACCCTCGCTGAGTGAAAACTCGTGCGGAGGTCCAGCAGTTACTTAAATTTTATTAACACGCATAAAAATTCGAAAACATAATAAACAGAATTTTTAAAACGTGAGAAATAATATGGAAATTACTATTTAGGTATTTGAACACGATAGGTTTAGTTTCAATTGTTTCGTATTCATATTGAAGTCGGTGGAATGTATATTTTTTAAACAAAGATACACAAAGACAACTTGGCTACATCACTAAGCATTAAGTAATGACATTAAAAAAAAGGCAAAAGAGAAAAAAGAATCAACAAAAAAAAAATGAATGAAAATAATTATATAAATTAGTTATTCCTTTATATTGAGTTATTCTATAGTATCATTATCCCACAATTAATGTTTCAGTTATCCCTATCTATAGCCAAATTCTTCTGATTGGATTCACCTTCTAAAGCTTTCACATCCTATTTTACTTTCGACTACATTCCTCCGCTTTCGCAAAGATCATTTGTCGACTTCGGTTCCAGTACTACCCGTAGTGGTGGATTTTAGCTTCTGTGCACGTGTCCCACGTTAGACTTTTTTCGCGAAAATCTCTACAAAACATTCTAGTTGGCAAACTTGCATATTTGCAGTAGCTCTTTATTTTCCCTGTTCCGGTTATGTTATCCATTATTGGCTTTACTGTTACTGCAGGTCTAAAGATCTTCCTCGATATTATTTTAAAAATAACAATCGGCGAGACTATAATATTTTATCGTAATAATAAAAGTCGTGAAATTTCGGCGGTTAATGAATACCACCCTAAAGATATGACGAACGGTCGAAAATTCGACACGGTGACCAAATAAATATTATGGATGTGTGTATGTGTGTATTTTTTTTTTAACGAATTATTTGATTCTGTGAAACATGTGTGCGTAACGTCATTTAAAATCGCACCTGTTTATGCATAATACGATTTTCTAAATGGACTCGATTTTCGATTTTTTGAGTAGAATATTATAATTTCTCTGCGGTCTACTTTTATTTTTCGCGCGTATTTTGCAAGCAACAAAGATGTGTACAACACGCAGGTGAGGTAAAAAGCGCCGTCATCGATCTTGAAAAAAAAAAAAAAAAACATCACAACAATAATATGCATAGTCGTCGACGTCGTCAGTTGGGCGATAGATACCTACTTTGATCTGCAGTTTAGACTTGGAAATCGGTCACGCATGTTAATGTCGAGACTTTAACGAACGCACCACTACCGAGTAAATAATAAAAAGGCTAATACTGCTGATGCGTGTGCCACTGTTTTGGGAGGGAAGTAAGAAGGGAGGATGTGTAGTGTAAATTGAATTTATAAATGTACGCAACGATAAACCATCGCTAACAAAACACGATTTTGAGCTGAGTTTTAATAGTCGCTTTTTTCTGGATAACTCAATTAATTAACAATAATTGTACAAATAATTGCTAGTTTTTCCGTTTTATTATGACAACCACTAAACAAATCAAAACATTACTCTTAATTGCATTGATCAGATCAAACATAATACAAGAAAGTTTCTGTAAAGTTTTTGATTAGACCAAGATTTTTGGTAGTAAAGTTGTTTACAGATGCCAAAAATAAACCACATTATAGTAAAATCAATACCAAAATCGCTTCGCTCAGAATCTAACAACAAATCGATTTTCAAAATCTAAATCCAAAATCATAAAAATAATTTTTTTGGAAATTATATTCTTAAACATTAAAGATCTTTTAAAATCCACAAAATGAATGATTTTAAAAATCATTTTTTCTGAAATTGATTATGACTAATATATTATTATTAATATAGTCATATTATCCAAAAAAATAATTCCATAAAAATCGTTAAATTAGTTTTTTTAAAAATTCTAATTTAAATTCAGATTTTAAAAAACCTAACTCATTATTTGGATATTATTATATCCGCGGTAGGTACTCGAGAAGATTAACCATTTTCGGCTGTGTTTTCGTTTCGTTTTCGGTTAGTTCATGTAATTAAACATCCTAAACAAAATGCTTTCCTTTTCGTTTTCGCTAATTTTTTTTTTTTCTTTGGACCTAATGTCTTCGTATACTATAATATGTCGTCGTACCGCCGGATGTTCACGAGCCGTCGTCCGTTAATTGTGAATACCACGCTAGGTATATCTTCCCGTTTTAGACATTCGTATAGTTTAATAACCGTGTTAACGGTATCAAACGGAATAAGCAAATTATACGAACGAGTGCGTGTACACTGTACACGCAGCACCACCAGTCTGAAAACCCGGAGAGAAAAGCGAAATGTCTAATTACAGAACTCGACAATGTATAATAATAGAGTTATTATAATATATTATAGGTATGTGTACGAGATTATCATATAGTCGGATTAAAGAGGCGTGGTGACGGGCGGATTTGTTTGAAGTGTGTCTACTGTTATTAGATAATAATATATATATATATTAAAAAAATTCTGCCGATAACTGACGGTATAAATACTCGACAAATTATAATTTATCAAGTATTATAGGTTAGCTGTAGCCTGTAACCTATAACCTAGGTATATGATGTTTTCGCGCGGTCCTCATACCGTAGGTTAATAAAATTAGCTGAAAAACGATGAGGATTTTTTTTTTCAATTATTTAAATCGCGTAATATACAGGTAGGCGTATATAATTATTTTCGATTCTGATGACGGACACCTATGATTTAATATTCGAATACATACATAATGTTTATATGCGCATAGTACATCGATAAATTATGTTGCATTACGAATACAAATCGCCTGCGAAATTTTGTAAAAAAAAAAAGCTGATACTGCGTTGTTTACGGAGGGAATACTCTGAAGAGACAATATAATATAAAGTAATTTAATTTATACCTTTACGCGACGTTAAACTGTTGCCAACGCTAACGGAAAATGATTTCGAACAGCGTGAATTCAAGAAATCGTCGACAATTAAACAAAAAAAAAATGTCCAGTCTTACCATTAAGAACTCTACAAGGGAAATACGAAAAAAACCTCTTCGACGTACCAACTAAATTAAAAATTCTTCAAGAAAGTTCCCATTTTTGATTTGAGCAATATATCTGTTAGAAAAATTATATTTTCTTTTTCAATGTTCGACGAGTCTCAATGCTGAAGTTCTTTACAGTCCCCCCCCCCCCAAAAAAAACACAGTCAAATTGCAAATTGCTTCGTTCAAAATCTAAAATCAATCGCCTAGTGTACATTATTGCGGGGCCCGTTTTCGACTTAATTATAAAAGTATAAGCACATGGCGTGGACGGAGGTGCGTTAATTGTACGATGATAATAATAATATTATAAAGTCATTTGCCGTATAATTTTCTCGCTTTTAACTATGGTGTAGGTAGGCAGGTATAATAATAGTGTAATAACGCCCGGTAACAATGTGTGGTAATTACACGTGTCTTTGAGCACACACGCGAATCGTTCGTTCCGCGGTCAGTCGAATCACGAAAAAAATGTAAGACGAGAAAACGGACAAAATAATCTACGGCTGATTTGTGGCCGTCAAAATCGTAGTGAACGTTTGCGCGCGAGTTCTCAATCCCGTATAATTTCGTTTGAGTATTAATTGGACATTTTAAGTACTTGCAGGCATTATCATGCAGTTCTCCTCAGTGTTCACCGGATTTTCAATCTGGGTGATGTGTCATCCTGGAGTGACATAAATCCAGTGTAGTGAAACACAAATCCTCGAGGAAAAGAAAAACAAATAAGGGAAATAAAAATTTATTCGATTAAAATCGTATTAATATGTCGTATTTGACAAATGAAATTCACATGCAGTTTGAGAATAAAAACGATAGAGATGAGGGTTGAAAGTTGAAACCCCCGTTTCCCAAAAGGCACATCCTCATACTAACGTCATGATGCATGTACAAAATTCCATCACCGTAGTTTCATTTAAGGGGTCTGTAATAGAGGTGTTCAAAGTCTAAGGTTATGTAATTTTGCTAGGTTGATCGGACTGGGATATTAAATACGAGTAGCACGGCTTCTTTACAGCTAATATTCACCATAGTTAATGCTAGAATCTGGGAACGAATAAAAAATCGGTAGAAGGAAAGCGCTCAGTACAACTGTTATCAACGGACAACAGTATACGATTAATAGCTCAGTGTTGGAAAAAATAAACAATATTTGTATCTAGATACAAATTTAGATAAAAGATAATCTGAACTAAACAATTTTCTCAAATAGCTAATGATAAAATAAAATTTTCAGTTATTTAATAACATCTATTTATTTATTTTATTTAATTAAGTATAAATATATGAGTACTGGGCCCCACTAAGAGGACTCGTGTTGAGCCCAAGAATTAAAAATCTATTTAAAAAAAACAAATTACACTTTTATTTAATAAGTACATGATTTAAATTACATTATCATACAACGATTACTATAAATTAAGGCTAAAATTAAAACAATTTTATTACTATAATATTATTAATTCGTAAGGAGATTCCAATAACCCTTGCAAATTTTTTTGAATAAATAAATTAGAAGGGTTACTATATAGGATGGCATTTTGTTACGGTTACATAGATTGGATTATTTCAAAATATCTACCAGATATGGTTTTTTTTATCTTTTAATAATAAAATTGTTTTTGCGTATCTTGTGTTTACTCCATGCATTATCGGTTGTAATATATTGTAATTATTGTATTACTAATTGTAATATGTTGTAATTGTTTATAAATACCTATGTACCAGTAATTTTTAGATACATTTTCTTAACAGGTAGCACATTTAGTTCTGTCTTATTGGATACATATATTAAGATGTAAAAAGATATATTAAGATAATTCACAACCAATATTACTTTAAGAATACAGATAATTCGAATTCAAAACATATTATTAAATATTCAAAATAGTATAGGTATATAAAATAATATTTGTGAATAACCAAGGTTATGTCGTGATTAAAAAAAAAAATTTTTTTTTTGAGGAAATCCGATTTTTTTTATGATTATAGGTAATATAATAGTATAGTATCTATTATTAACGTGTTTATGTACTAAATGGAACTAAGAAGATATAAAGACATTTATATTTTATCTAGATAAAAGATAAATTAAATAGTATTTCGTCATCTAGATTCTAGATTATATTTTCGATATTATTATCCAGATTATTCCAACACTGGATATAATATGACGCGATGTAACGGTGAGTCCGACGAAAGTAAATTCGAAAAAACAAACGATAAGTCAGTCATGAACGAGAGTGATTTTAAATTTTTTTTGTTTTTTATCGTAAACGAAAAAGCAGGTGCAGATGTAAGCGCACGAATAAAAAAATAACACCACACACATTACACTCTCGTTTTTGCACAATGCTCGCACGTAAATAATATTTATATGGTAACGCATAAACACTATAAAACAGACCGTTTATAATTTTAAATGGACACGCATATTTGGAGAAAAAAAAGACACGGTGATTCTCCTCGTTAACCGATGGTAAAAAAATAGTCGCGTTTGAATGACTTAAAACGGTTTGCGATCATGCAAATAAAAACGACCGCAAGTTGTCGGTAGTGACAGCGACAGAGACTAATATTATATTCTTCATCTGTATATATAAGCTTTTATGTTCATGCGGGACTTTTTCCGGCTCCACCATCCCTATCCCTATCCACTTATCTCGGGGTTTGCAGTCGTCTATTATTGTTCCTGGGTAGATTTCGACAACATTTTCGACATAGTATTAAAATATTTTTGGTCATTCGAAATCGTACGGGTGTTAATGAAACACGCGTTTCTTGTATCATTAGAATAACGATCGACCCAAGGATGTTTATAACTGCAGCGAACGTTTATACTAATTATAATTTTTATTTATTAATTATATTTCCAATCGCCAATAGTATAGTTTATTATAATTGCATACCATTTTTTTTTATAACGATGACGTATCTCGTGGTGGCGGTAACCATCCATTTCGGTAATAAAAGATTACGTACACTGTTCGGACCGTACGTAAATGTGTGCCACATTATAAAAACGAAAGCTACCGAATAAATTACTATACACGATTAGTACTCGCCCGAAATAAATTTAGGTATACTTATGCGACTTTTTATTTATTATTAGCGTGTTTAAAAAGAAACGATCGAGGAAAATTAGCTGTAAAATATACAGCGAGACCAACGATAAGTGGTGAATAAGAAAGAATGAGAACCATTGAATCTGAACTGTATCGTAGATGCCACCTGCAGAAGCAAGAGATTACAATAATGATCATGGTGCGCGCCCGGAGAAACCGTAACCTATTGCTTATTCGTACAGTATTGAAGGGGAACTTTTTCCCAGTGAGAAAAAAATTCCTCAGATAAAGACTAAGAATTAGGTGTAAAGACGCATAGTCAAGAAATATGCGGAAGTACTAGAACTTGGAAACCACGAGTGTCGGATAAAGACGGCTGGAATGACTGGATTATTAGATTTTGTACGTTCTGTTTAACGATATTCATCATTTTTCTTACTGTACCTACATAACGTTATAATCATAACCAGAGAGATTAGACCTAACTAGAGTCTAGAATCTAATCATTAAATTATATTGATGCAAGCCCCGCAAAAGAGCAAATAATTGATTTGATTTAACGGAGATAACTCAATTATTTTTATTTATACAGTAGGTACATAATGAAGTCGTGGTATACCTACGTACCTACTTACTTTTATGAAAATCACAGACCTTGAATAACAACGCACTTGGACAATGTGAGTGCAGTTATAGGTGACGTCTAGGTTCGGTTCTGATCAGAGCCTATTTTCTGTATAATTTTGTATTACGCACTTTTTGTTTAGACCATAAATAAATGGTAAAAAAAAAAAATTTGCTCTTATACTCTTAAATACAGTTATTTCACTAATTTGTCTACCATTTGTCGTTGTTTTCAATTTTTTTTAAACAAATATTTCCAGGTATAAACTTTATAAAAGAGAAATTTATGGGTAATGTAACAAGTAAACTTAAAAAAAAAATATCACATAATATAAACTAGTTTGTACTTTATTTATACATTATTCTTTCAAAACATTTGTTTAAATAACGTTCCTTTGAATTTAATTCCTTATTGAAAGTCAATAAACTAATTCTGACAAGCATTAAGATAATAATTTTTAAAACATCATAATAATAAATAACAAATTTTAAAATACTTTGTATTTGTTCGAATGTCTTCGAATACCTTTTCTAAATTCGTTAAACAATTAAAAAATACTATAACAACAAAACATAGTAAAGAAATATTTTTTTATAACACTCTGCACATTTTATAATTCCGTACTACACACAACAGATTTGGTATTACACACAATGAGGCGTATTATACACAAAAATAGGCCCTGGCTCTGATCGTATGACAAAGATATTATATATGTATTATAGCAGGGATGTTCAACCCACGGTAGATTTTAATACGGCCCTCGTTTAAATTTCAAATCATCAATTAATTGTATATAATATTATGAAAACAAATTTATTTCAAGAATATAAAACTACAAAATATTAAAAAACTTTAAATATTACTTAATAGAATGTACTATTATATGAAATTGTTATCTTTATTGGGAACTGATAGCGATAAATAAACTAATGTAACAAAAATAACAAAACTATTATTTTCAAATTGTTTTCTTTTCATCATAAATAAATATATTTTTCCTTGTAACTATAAATAAAATGTAATAGCTCGTCAAAATATTTCTACTGATTATTCACTACGGTGAAAATTTTAAATAAAATGTATTATTATTATAATGTATGTGGCCCACAACAACTTCTACTTACATAATGTCGCCCAGTCTTTACAAAAGGTTGGACACCCCAGTAATATATTATTTTATACGGTTTATTGTATTTGCTTCAAATCACTTCTTCAGTAGTCGCGTAGGTAGGTATACAGTATTATGTTTGCACTGCACACGGTTTGTCAAAATATTTACAGAATATAATAATCATTAATAATTTATTAGCTGAACACAAATAGATATATACTTAGGTAACTAGGCGGCAAATATATATTTGCGCAAGAAATCCAAATATCCTCTTGAATTTATTATTCAAAAAATTATCAATTATAATACAAAAAAAAATAATAATAAATTGACAACGATGTATTTATTTAGCGATGATTTTCTTCACGTACCTACCTACCTGTGTAGAAGTATGCAAAATGAAAATAATACTGATGGAACCAAAAATGGACGGAGAATAACTGAAAAACGCATGGAAAAGCATGGAGAGACATTGGCAATGGGTCTATATGACCTAGAATAAGCCATACAGAAAAGTATAAACAGCAGTATTTTCGGCGAGTTTTGCACTGTTTAAGGTGACTGAAGGGAAATAAAGTCAAGGAAAAATAACCAATAATATAAAGTGAAGCCAAAGGAAAAATTTTTAAATTAAATTTATTATACAAATGTTGGTGGAGAATTTTTAACGAAACTTAAAAATACATATTATAAATAGGTCACTATATTTGTTTTATATTATTCACGCTTGCTGCGCATAAAAATTATACGATATTTCAGTAATACACTATTCTTCGTTAATAATTTGTCCTAACTACCGATAATATTAATATAGTATACCCATATTAATTTTAATTATATTTGTAGGAGAATTCCCGTGGCCGTCGTAATTTACTGCTATTTATTACACACCACACGATTTATATTACAAGGTTAGGATTACATTAACATAATATTCGTGAATATTTAATTTCGCGGTCGATTTTTGAATTAAAACTTTCTATCGTGTATTTTTTTCGGAAACCCTACTGCGGTTTGCATGCTCTATAACCAAACCTATGTCTCGAATTTTAATGCTTTATACGTACTTAAAGCTTTTTTTAAATTTTATCATTAAAATACAAACAAAATTTCAAACTAACCCCAACCCCCTCAATATAGCGTATAGGTCTTCTAGAAAAGTAAAAAAAAATCAACAAATATAATATATTATATGTATATAATTTTTTTAATAATCCGGGTTATATATTATATAAATTATTTAAGAGTTTTCGGGGTATTTTCGAATTTTCGATGAGAGCAGATAAAATTTACTCTGCGACTTTACATGTAAGGGTGGATTGTCGATTTTTCTTAACCCTAGGAAATATGAATCCAATCACAAATCCCACAAACCGCAAATAATCATAAGCGCGACTGAAATGTCATCGAAATTTCCTACAAATGTGCCGGATTTAGCAAACAATGTAGCTTCCATAACTCTCTCTGATCTCATTTTATTTCATTAATATCACATAGTAATCTATAGCAGCTTACATACGAATACCGGCCTATCGGCAATATCCGTCTCAAGTATTAAGTCTCAAGCTACAAAGACTATAATTATATGTGTGGTCAAATACACTCGCATCGCGTACATCATACGATATCTCAAGAACGTTATTTTTGCTTATTGTGTTTTTTATTATATTAAATTCATTTTATTTTTTTTAGGATTTAAAAATAACTGGATCTCGTTTGTGACGGCCACGGCGGCGTCCGTACTGATGCTGCATGCGCAACAGCCATTGTCCCCTCGCGGTATAATTTGATTTTGTTCTATATTCGTATGATAAAAATATTATAGGTGTTTTTTTTTTTTTTGTTCTCTCTCATCGTCGGCCGCAAACGGTATCACAACTTTATTCGTAATATATAAAATCGCATAAACAATCGATACACATATAGGTATATATTATATATTCGCGTCATAGAGGTATAATAATAATAATAATAATAATAATAATACATACATACATACATAATAAAAGAAATATTCGTTTTTTTTTCTCGAACGATTGTATTACACGACTACGACGACGTTCGGTTATTATTATTATTTTTTTATCGTCGTTTTCAACACGTCGTTATAATATTATTGTAATGTATATTTTTTTTCAGTTTTTGCACCGGGTGGCGATGTTCCATTATTACAAGTACCTATACGTTCGCAGATATTATATATATATACCTAATATTACGGTCATTCCGGTGTGCGCGTGCACCGGTTTTATAACGGCGGATGCTATATTTTCATTTATATTGTTAAAACGTGGCTTTTGCGCGACGCAATTTAATATAATATTATTATGTTGAAAAACTGAATTCACGCGGGAAATTATCGCCCGGCGATTGACGGACAATAATATAATCGCGAGATCGCGACCCCGCTGCATCGCCGCGGACCAGTCGCCGGACGGCGGACTATAGCGGTTGTATACTATGCACACGTCTCACGAATAATGATCGAATAATAGTAATAATAATAATATGAATCATCGATTCTTATAAAGTGAAAAAAAAAAAAATGAAATATTAGTTGAATATCTCGGCGCGGACCGAGTACTTTTTTTTTTTTTTAGCGACGATGACCATTATTGGCCGCGGCGTGTGTCACGTGTGAATCACGTCGATAGGCCAACAATTAGTCGGATGGAGTCGGATTACAACATTCCGTATTAGCGTCGTCGTCGGGCAAGAGTTCGAGGATAAAAATATTATGACTGTGTTAAGTGAATAATACATAACGTGTAACAATAATAATTATAATACGCGCGATCGTTAAAATATTACGAACGGGAGGAAAAAATTCATTATCCCGGATGTTATTATAATAGGTAAAACGCGTTCATATAGGCACGCATAGGTATAATATCTGGATGGAAATAATTGCAACGGTAACCTTGTTTCCGACGACGACGCGGAAGGATGATTTTACGACGTTTCTTACTATCGACTTAAAGACCGTACTTAGGTTTTTATAATACTTTTACACCTTAAACCTGTACTGTTTTTAGATGCTGAGCGAAACGACGAATGTGATGTTGGTTTTACTATGTGAAGTGTTTATTTTTTTCTTGTGTCTGCCATTAATTTTTCCATCAGAAATCGTGTGCCACTCAAACACTTCGTAGAAACTTTAAGTCTTTTGTTGCGTTCATGATCTAGTTATTGGCGCGCTGAGAGGGTCATTTTTTAATTTCTTTGTAGTTTTCTTAATCGATTGGAAAAACGGGCAATCTGTTGTATAACTTCTGTTTATTTCTCGGTTATCTCGGCAACAAGAGGAAAAATACGGCTCATACAACTCTCCTCAGAATCGTATTTCGTTAGCGAATGATATTGCTCTACAGATTTTCCCTTATTCATAGAGTTTTGAATTCGCATCCTATAGATGATTTAGTTATTCTTATTAGGACATATCATACCTATACCTACTTAGCTGAAGTAACTGGACCGATCAGTATCCAACGGAAACGGCGAATATTTATCGACTAGCTAAGGTGATGGTTTCTCGAGTTCCCGAGGTTTTAGAAAATAAATATAAAACATAGTTTTTTTTAATTTTTATTATAACACTTATCGTATCAAAACTCATATCTACACTAGTATTTTGGAAAATGTACAAACATATTGGAAATCGACGAGACAGTAATTTTTACCACGCGTAAATTTGAAAGTGATAAAATTATGATCTCGCCCATCAAATCGATAAGCCATCGTCTAATTTTGCACTGATTGACAACCGGTAGATACAACTCTCACTGCAATACGGTCGTATTGATAAGATATACGTATTTATTTTTTTTTATCGGATTATGGAATCCTGAATTTACGTGAAAACCGGTGTAATTTAGTTTCGGAGATTTTCGAAGATGAAATGTGCGAGCTAAAGAACCGTCGTCAAATTGTTTTCGGAAAATTTGAATCATTTACTGTTTCACGAGGTTTTGACTTCTCTAGAAACTTGCAGTCTATGTCGGCGCTATTATTTAAATATGATAGATTTAAAAATTCGTCAGACAATTAAAAATTGTTTCCATTGATTTCGAGCGCATTTCGGATATTTAAAAAATACCTATATGATCGTCGGGTTCAAATATATTTTCCGAGCATATTTCATACCACAGGGCGAGGGAGTTTGGGGGTTTTATACACCCCTCCCGTTGGCTTGGAAATACATCTATGCGTACATATTCAGTGATTTAATCTTCAATATTAATGTGCGCATGTTTCATTCATGTTAATGAAATAAAAATTGGAATTTTTGGGCGTTAGAAAAATGATACCATGAAATTCATGATTATTATCATACTTTGCCGTTGAAAATTCTCGGGCACGCCACTGTTTGCTCGTAATATGTTTTATTTGAACGTTATTAAAAAACTCTAAAACACCACTCTCTAATAATAATTATGATTCACGACTCGTGGCAGGGGAAATTTTGTGCTGCGGCCGGGTGGTGGGTATATATAGAAAGCCGAGGTGAAATACGCAAGTTTTTGAGAAAACGCCGCCACCGCCGCCGCCACTGCCGCTTTCGACCGACGACGACGAAATATGCGACGAATGTCTTACCTAAGTATACGTTTATTTTTATGCGGCACGGAACGGGCGTAAAAAAAAAAAATATACGATAACAACTATATACATTATACACAGATACGATTATAATATAGTGCGGGGAATGGGTCTATATTAATAAAATACCCCGATGTCTATATGTATCTATACGACTGCAGGACGGAATAAACGTGACTGGGAGTGTTTCGCGACGGTTGACTGACCATCGGGTTTATACCTACATTATACTCGTCGTAATAACAATATTACAATATTATCGGCGCTCGTATATAATGTTTTTGAAAGTGCGCGTATTTAAAAATTATGTATGGACATAGGTATAATATATTATTATTATGCGTGTAGGTGCCGATCGGGCAGCGATGACGATTAATAACGCGAGAATCTAGAGGGCAAAAAATGAAAAAAAAAAAAGTAGAAAAGAGTATATTATTAATAATATTTTTAAGATCCTGTTTGGCGATCATCCACCCCCTACAACCTCGCAGCACAGTGGCCGCCTCCGACGATAACATCGTCTCTTGTTATTTTTTTTTCCTTTCATACTAGGTCATCGTTGCGGTTTCCGGTCTCACGTGTGTTCGGGGCGTCAGCGGCCGATAAACATAATATTATTATAATATAGTATAATAAATAATATCACTGACGAATAACAAACATAAAAAAAATAAACCTATCGACAGTTTACGTATAATAATTGGATTTTTAATCCGTTTACAGATCGAACAACGTAGAGTCCTACCGCGGTTTCTCGTCGTGTAAACTCGTGATAATATATTATCACTTATCTGCGAGGACCCTCGACCTTAAGCGGCGCCTCGGCTTTACGGACCGATAGGTAACATCATAACCTGACCACTATATAGTAACCAATATAGACATAGGTACGCGATTTTAAAATTATCTCCGACGACGGCACGCGTAGACGTGAAATCCATTATCCATAAACGCGGCACCTAATATTCTATTTATCCGAACGGGAGTTTCAACTGTTCCAAGGAAATCGAATTGTGGGTAGCAATTTAAAAAAAGCTGAGCAAGTTAGTTAACGTCTGACTATTTTAACTGAAGTAAATTAAAGTCAGATTTAAATGTAAATTGGGTAATTATAAGTTAAGGTTCAAAATGTCTGCAATACAATAACTCACGTTTAGATAGTTATAAGTCCCTTTTTAAAAATTATCCACGATTAGTTACACATACAAAAGTATTTTGTACTCTAATATTTTTACTTAATAAACTAATTTAACCTCCGATATTTATTACTTATATACTCTCCGCGTACGTTTCCAAAAATTATATTTTTCAAATCACCTATATATATATATATGAAAAGATAATATGTATTTGTTTTGTTTGGTACGGCGGTAATATAACAATGAAAATTTCGACCAAAAAACGTGTAAAATTATACGTAGGTACTACGTGACATCGCGGTTTGTGAAATCGAATCGAAGTCAACCAATTCGTTTTCGTTATATTATTATTATTGTTATTGTGGTATAATATGTTGAAAGTTTCGTGGGGGTGGCGGGGGAATCGTAAAACCGTAAAAAACCGTTTGTGTATTTTCTCGTAAATCTTTGCGGAATTTGTTACACACGTGATGTGTAATGTTTGTGTGCAGCGGTAAAAATCTATTCAAACGTAACTTTAACCTCCTACGACGACACATCGTTGAAAACGAAAAAAAAAAAATAATATTAGAAAATCTCGTTTGAAGTGTCAATTATTATACTATATATTTGGTGGAAATTTCGTATACCTATTCGCTGCAATAATATATGTAATTGGAATCGGTCATTCGTTTAAAAAATTCAGCACTTTACCGCAGTATACTGCGTCTGTCAACTACTATTATGTTTACTTCGTCTACATCTTGTCCGTCACGTTTTATTTATATACACGCTGCAGATGTGATGATGGCGTTATCCTCTGTATCGTGACGTATAAAAAACGCCATTGCGGCGGTAACCGTTTTGTTTTTTTAACGGATAAGTAGGTACTTGAAGGTTTTGAAAAAAAAACTCGTCGGTTGACGAAAATTGTATTCGTACAATACTATTATTGGTGCATAAGTATTGTACCTGCTTATACGGGGTGATCAACATAACGTAAGATACTCATTATATTATTTGGTTTAAATGCAATCTCATGTTGACGCTTTTAAATACCGTCAACTCGTAGACGAGGTATTACACTTATAAATTTGATGTTGGGTTTGGTAGGGGGAGAGTAGTGGAATACTATCACAAACGCTACGCTACTTGAAAATCAAAAGTGAGTAGTGGTTTAACTCCAAAACATGAGGGTGACAAAAAATAATCGAAAAAGTTTTCCGAGATGACGAATGTCTTGCTCTGTACTTATATATTTTATTCGGAGAATGTGAATTCAATATGGCACATAAAATCTACAGATGTAGGTGCATCTTTAGGTCAGTTTCATAAGAGGCAAAATAAAATCTTTTTTTTTAAAGAGTTCAATAGATGGAGATTAGGAAAAATATGGCTACCCCTCTTAAATCATTTAAATTCCCCCTGAAATTTGTATTCTGTAAATTTTCATATGAATATTTAAGGGGGTATGTATTATCTATGGATTACAAGTACAGCTGTGATAACAGGAGCAACATTGTGCAAATATTTTCGTATCATACTTAACTGCAGTGTTAGCAAATCAAAAAATTAAAATATATGAGAAGTAAATTATTTTGGTCAAAATTAATATAGGTATACTAAAGAATTATAGATACTTATTAGATATTTTGTAAAATATAGAACATACAAAGGTTCAAGGCCATGGTAGGAAGGACGATCACCCCTAAAGGACGCGCCCATACAGATGCAGACGGTTATCGGTCGAGAATCGGACCGGAAAACGAATAATATTATAGTTTCGTAAGTATAGGTAATTTGGGTTTTTTGTTTTTTTGTTCGTATACCCCGACGATTATGTTAATCACTCGAATTTTTTTCGGTTTTGTACATCATTAAGTACATTACTGTAATGCGCGCGGTCCGATAACGGTCGACCGGGATAAGTCTATAAAAAAAAAAAAAAAAACATCTGAAGACAATTTGCAATGGATTAAACTGTCGTATAGATACACTTATCTATACTGTTGCTGCAGCGTACGACTTTCGAACGAAAAAAAAAAAACGCTGCAGTGTTTTTTTTTTTCAGTTATATTTCGGAATATTATTAGGTATATTATTAGCATCACCGTTATCGAGAAATGACGAAAAATAATATATTGTGAACGTTTAACGGGAAACGGCCTGCAGCGATTGATTTTTTTCTCTCATTTTTTTCCCCGTATCTGTACAATACAGTACAGTCGGTCATATTATACTTACGTGTATATATTTGATACGCGATTTGTATAATACTATAATATTCGCAACTCCGCAGTGGTCGTCGGATCATTGGTGAGAAGGGAAAAAAAAACCCGCGAGCAAATAACGAAAAACGAGGTGTGACAGAGGCGGTCGCCGGAAAAAAAAACGGCGGTACGGAGGTATGAGAGAGAAAACTAAAAAAACAAATTTTGATTGCGCAATTAGATAATATTTAGGCCATAAGGCAATCTATTACCATTTAAATTTTTTTTGGTTAATTTAAATTAAATCCTTCAAGTTTAATTTTTAACTATACAGGTACATTACCGTATAATAAAAATATTAAAAATGTACGTTGTTTATCAGATTATTCGTTAAAATATTGTCGTTCGAAAAAGCTTACAAAAAAAAAATAAAATTACGACATAATACTCAAAATAGTTTGGAAACTATATCACTTATATATTTAGAAAACATCATTCGTTGAAAATTACAGGTCTGTATTGTTTCTCAGTGAATAACAGCGAAAAAACAAAATCAATTTTGTTACATTCCCGTTTTTCTGACGCATTTAGAAAAGTACAAGGCATTTTAACGAAACGACCTCTTCGTCGCGTACCTGTGCCAATTCAATTTGAAAACCCTTCAAGATGAACTATGAAGTTTTTGATTGGAACAATAAGTCTTGGGATCGTGTTCACACGTAAAAACTACAAAACCGTAGTGTAAACAATAGTTATTCTTCGCTCCGCTCGGAATCTAAAAAAGCGTAAAAAACGTGCAGTGGCGGCGGTCGCTCGTGTGAATTGTCGTTGTTTGTTCGCGCGGAGATAAAAACCCGTTGACAAATCTCTACTCTCGGTCTCCCCTATTATCAGTACAATACACAAACCTAACCTATAACCCGAGTATCGCACGAAAATCGGTCAAAGCCGCCGCCGCTTGCGGTATACGACAACAATAATTGCGCGGTATTAGTATATCGTTGACGGTACTTAACCTAACCTACTCACTATATTACTCAGCAGATACTCACAGTGCAGTGATCTCTAGGCCTTTATTTGCAAGTGCCAGGTCAGCTCTATAGGTACTCTTACTGTCCTTATGTCAAGCGCCTTCTCCGCGCGTACACTCGCATAATAACTCCTCTGGCCTGCGCATATATGTCGGCTCTTCATCGAGGTTTCCGTCTAAACGCTACACTCGACTCGCCATTATATTTCATCATTTTCTCAAAATCCACGTCGTACGTCTGAAGCACGTCTTCTTATCACACCCTCGGCTTTCACAAAAGTATTTTCTGTATACTGGGTTATGTTTCAGCACTGCCCGTAATCGGCCGTATATAGCCGTACAAATTAAATCGCCACTTTTAAAATGGTAATCTGTATTATATAGCTGTCCGTTTTTTCCGATTAGCGCATCCTTTGCCGCGGGCCCACAGGTCTTTCGCGACATTTTTCCACCGGGTACACGTTAAACATTAGTAATATTTCCGTACGTTTTCCTCGTCAGAACAGGACGAGTTTCATTCGACGCCCGACACGCGCGTCGTATAGGTACCCAGCTACAGTATTATATTTCATAGCCGTTGGCCGCACAACGGTTATTTTATATTACGAAAATTTCGCTTTTATCGACGCGCGACAACGACGTTCGTCATAACGTACGTACTCGAATATTATATTCAATTATTATATATTATTGTATTGTGATTTGTGAATTTGTGACTGTATAATATAATAATGTTATAGGTACGATTCAGTATTCGCCGGTGGTCAACAACCCCGGCGACCGCGAGAGTGTCACCCAGTGTCGCCGTGTATACTTTAATAATAATTTTATACGCGACAATAATATACGAGACGTCACGTGGAAATCGTAATACATTATTACGAATAATAATAATAATAATAATACCTACACCTATACCGTATATATTAAGTATTCTCGGTGGATTCCGCGCGCACGCACGCGCATATTATCGCGTATAAAATTCTATATTTTTATTGTATTATATTGCGGCCGACGTTAACAAACTATCACGTTTGGTTCGGGAAAAACGAAAAAAAAAAAAAAAAATAAAGTATTATACAGATACGAATCGGTTACTGCGGCAGTACACTAGCTATTATAATATGTATGTATAAGCAATCCGCGGGGCCCCGTTACGACGGATAAAACAGTAATTTTAATATTATGATTGTTCACTGCTGTAACATTATTCGTGTGATTCTGCGAGAATCTGCTGTCGTCTCCGTCTCTCCCCGAGACCAGGTACAGTAAGATCGCGAAAAATAAAGTTTAGATTCGCGTGACCGCTCCGACGCTGCACAGACGAGCGATGATTAGCTCCAGAAAGGTACCTATATTGAAAATTAAAAAAAAAAAAAACAAAAAAAAACCCAGCAGTCGTACTATAAATCGTAACGACGCGTATAATTTGTTTTTTCTCCTTTTTTTTAGCCGCCTATCCCATTATCGGCTAACACACATATTGTTTTACGAGTTGCTTTTTTCTTCTTCAGAGTTTGCGCATCATCGCTCGTCGGTGCAGACGTTAACGACGGTCGTCCGCGTGATACCGGCGTCGTCTCGATAACGCGACCGCAAACCGTATAAATCTCCGTTGATTGAAATTATTATAATACTATATAATGAGATAACGGAGATTCAATGTCGCGGTGATTGTTTTTAATTCGGTTGGTTTAATTATATTATGAAAATAAAACTAACGTTAAAAAGAAATTTGTTTTTAAGCGATTATAGTTCTAATAACGACGAAATTCGTGAAAATAAAATCATTTTCAAAATTATTTAAATTTAATGAGAGCTCGACTCTGAATCGAAATTGTTTTCAAACGATTTTTCGCGTACACCCAATATGTTTCATAATCGACGCTGAATATTTTCGTTAAACGTATCTACGCTAAACAATAACCGAACGATTTGTTCCTGAACTTTTGTGGACAAATTGAGAGCCCTGTGTTTTACTGATTCGCTACGGTTTCAATTGCCGCTCAGGAGACTATTTATCAGGTGTAAAAACACTTTCCGACGACGTCGCGTTACTTTATACGAATACGAACATTTTCGTATGCACGACACATGCGTGCCGTCCGAAACGCACACAACGTTACGTGTTATCAAACGAGGATTGTCGCGATTTTCAAACGGGTTTTCGATAAACGAATAATAACAATTACCATATTATTGTACAGTAAATAAGGTTTGAAAAAAAAAAATTCCACTGCAATATACACGTCAGTGCGTCACGACATTACCGAAACAGTAAACGTACAATAATGCACGACTGCTATCTAAAGCAGTAATAATGCACGTGATTTTAATTAATTTAATTCCGTGGCCAATACAAGCGCAAAGACCGCGCGTCAGTATGAATAAGGAACTGGAGGAATGACATTTTGAAATCAATTTTCGTAAAAAAAATATTCGTCGATCACGTTAATTCATAATTGATTTACCTGATATTTATAGGCGTCTCATCGCAATACATGTGCAGGCGGCGGGCACGACGGGCATAATACGAGGTGTTGTGTTGTGAGTGTTGTGTGTGTGTGTGTGTATGTACCTATACTATAAATACGAGTGTGGTGTAGAATTCTTTAGAAAAAAAAAAAAAACCAGTCGATAAGACCGGGTTAGAACATTCCTATCGCGTCCCGTTCGTTTTAACCAGGTAAACAATCGTATATTACGTTTCCAAACCATATTGTGATATAATAACCTAAACGCGCTGTTTATTACGTACCATACTTACACTCGTGCCCCCTGTTTGGATCGTATCGCATTGCATTCGACGGTGGCGATAATCTATCGTAAGTACGTTTATTTTGATTCGTATCTTGTGTTTGTTACGTTTTACAGAAAAGCAACACGGATAGACGGGCGCGGCACACGAGTTTTTTGTCATTTGTCGAGTTTTTTTTTTTCGGCACTACTAGCAGTTATTTTTACGCGAACATTTACGTCACGCTAAAACGATTTTGAATTTTTAATTTACCGTTTTTCGTAAGTTTCGATGGTTTTTCGAAAAACGTTTCTTACTAGTTTTTCTGATTTTTTTTCTAATGATTTTGTAAGGGGGATAACCATTTTTGAGGGACTGCCTTTTTTCGCTTATTTTATTTGGGAGTTTGCAGGAATCGCTGACGAGACGTGATGTAAAACAGTTTTCGAGCAAAACCTATATATGCAGTATATTTCTTTCAACACATTAAAATATATCGGTTCGGCGGGTTCTAGATGACCGGGAAAAAACGCGGTTAGAACCGCACCGCCGCCGCGGAATTCGGTACACACGCGCAAACCAAATGTATTTTTATGGCGTTTTCTATAAATAATAATATTGATCCATTTGTCCGCAATCCGTATAAACGTGGGAAACGGGAAAAGCGTGCGGTTGTACGGTTTCTGAACCGACTTCCATGCCGTTCTCGTCGGGTCAAGTATACAGGGGCAGCAGAGAACAGATTGAGATTTTACGAGGAAAAACGAGAATTCGAGGAAGCAGGCGAATCGTGTGCAGCAATCAGTAGAAGCCGGAAAACAAGGATGAGATGAGATGAGAAGGTTTTTCCCCCACGGTAACAGAAAAGCGAAAATCTACGAAAGAAGTAAAATAAAGGTTCTCTCTACCCGACGTGATGATTTTGCGTAACAAATCGATGGTTATTTTCAACTTTGTTTCAACACATCAGCTCGTGAAGAAATATTTGAACCTTTGAGGCTTTATTTTGTGATCGGGTGTACGGAAGAAGAACTGACGTTATTATCGAGAAAAAAGGACGGATACAATACGGGGAGATGTGGAAAAACCGCGAGAGTATATATGGCTGACACTGCCTGCGTGGGATGTATAAATGGAGTAGAGGAGGAAAACAATATAAGATTATACGCGACTCTATAGAATCCGCGGTAATTGTGCACACGTTTATGAAAACTTTCAGGGAGAATTCGGAAGAACGGAGAGTTTGCGGAAACGCACCAGAGTCCGAATATCGCGGTAGACGTTGCCCCGCGGAAAACCGAGCGGACGGGTCGCGCGCGGCGCGCATACGGACCGTTGTCGAGAGCTGCGGAAAGAAGAGCGCTCTCGAGAGGAGGACATGATGCGGTTAAGGACGACGCGGGAGAAGTGAAAAAAAACCCTCGAAACGTGTTGGAGGGAGAGCCGGAGTGGTTTGTGCGTTGGACGTGGCCGCGTATTGCGACGATCCCCGAGGGTTCCGGAGCCGCGGCCGAAGAAGAAGAAGATGAATTTCCGAAAACCGCACTGTAGACGGCGGGAAACTCGTCTGGGAAAAAAAGAAAACGGTCGTCGCGTGAACCGCGCGCGGGTAGAAAGCTGCGCGGATAACGGTCGTCGTCGTCGTCGTCGGGCGGTTAAGGGCGGGCGACCGGTTCGCGGTGCCCCGGCGGTATTGTGCGCGCGCGGGCGGCGGCGCACACTCGCGCACGAGTGTACGCTCGGCGAAAAGTGAAATTGTATCGCTGCACCGCGGGAGTAAACAATGCGCGTCGCGAGTGATCCATATTTTTGTGTGTATCATATTATGCGAGCGCGCATATTGCACGCAGGCATCTCGGTATACGCGCGCGCGTTATGGAAAAATCCGTCCGAGTTATAATGCAATTAGAGAGTGTAAATGGATATTATTATATTCACGGGTGTTCGGACGCGCAATTGTATACATACGCGCGCGCGCGTACCGCAGATACGCCACGATGTTAATACAATAATAATAATAATAATAATAATAACGATAATAACGACGACAATATGCGCGCGTAGTACGTACGTACGCGTACGCGATACGGCCGGGATAAGCAGCCGCGGCAGAACGCACTCCGTATTATGTTATTATTATACTTTCACTCGAAAATCGAGCGATTTAAAAGGAAAAAAAAAAAAAAAAACCTAGATCTGACCGCATTACCGTACGCGCTGCAGTGTGTGCGGCGGCGTCGTCTCTGTACGCGATATTATCGTAGAGACACCCGTGCGATTTTTTTTTTCCCCCCTTACCTTTCCGCGCGCGCATGACGCGTAAAGGCGGAAGAAACGAAAACAGCGCCCGTCGCCGGGAAAAACGATCGAAATCTCGGGCGGACACGTCGCACGGTACACACGTCCCGGAGATGCGAAAAACGCGGCGGCGGCGGCGGCGACGGCCACTTACGGCCGCCCGCGTCCCTCCCGATCGTGCGCGACGGTTTTACGCCGGCCGCGATCGACGTTTTATTTATTGTTTCGAACATCGCCGTATGACCGCATACACGTACGCGTTCATACGCGTAAAAACTTTACACTTGCGGGCGCGCGCCGTCGTCGCCGGCGATCGAAAGATTATGGCCACCTGCGCGCAACCGTGCCTACTGCAATTACCGCGATCACGGTACCGTGTCGAAGCGCGGCGCGGCCGAGTTCCGATTTTATTATTATTGTTATTTTTTTTTTTTTTATTTCGAAAAACCGCTTGTTCGAATTAATTTACTGCCCATTGTTCGATCGTTTTTAATTGCGATTCCCGTCTTTCCGCGGCGGTGAAATATTATCCGTGGCGATCGCCGTCGAGCAAAAGGAAATTGCTACGGGCGTACCGTAAAATACGCCGGGGGTTCCCGCGCACGGCGAAAACGGTAGCGGTAGCGCTTTCGCATTCGCGTGCGCGAGCAAATGCAGCTGGCCCGAAAAAGTAGAACCTCATTGTTAAGAAAAAATTGCACTTTCGTCTAGTCCGTCAGCGTTTGTTTGTTTCTCATTTCGAGGATTCGCCGGCTCGTGTGTTTTTTTTTTTTTTTCGGCAATATCGCCAGGCGAGAAAAACGTCCGCCGCGACGGACACAATTTTACCACAATTCTGTGTCAATCGTTAATTTATTATAAGCGCAAGACGTATTATTATCATATTATAATTCATTGCTACGGAACGTATTCATATACCATTAAAATGGGTAAGTATGTGTTTAAATTATTAATAATACGCTGCGAAATATGCAATTATTTTTGCTTTTACGATACACGTATAATCATTAAAAATATGTGTTACCTGCAAGTATGTATTTATTTTTACATATTATATGCATTGCAAATATTGACTTGCTTTAAATTTAAAAATATCGCGTGGTATAGTATTTAACATTTTTTTTTTTTTTTTTTTTTTTTTTTTTTTAAACGATATTGATTTCCTATACTACGTATTTTTTAGCAGATAAATCAGACCCTTTATTAGTTGGTTTTTAATTTGCTTTGAAATGGAGAAATTAAACTGTCAAGATGCTCGTTTTTTATCGAATTATTTTTGAAATATAGTTGAATACCTGAAATTTCTACTCATTTTGTGAATACACGAACAGTGTATTTAAGTTTTATACAGAAATATGCGTAAAAAGTTCAAAATAAAAACTAACAAATATAGAAACAGTGTCACTCTTTTTTCTCACGCGAATCGTGCACAAAATTCTCGTCGGATTTCAAATATTTCATAGGGTTTAATAAAAAAAAAATACTCGTTCACAAAATATTACGAGTCAGTTTTCTACTTCGGTACATGCTTAGTATACTAAAAATCCGCTCATTATAAATACTATGATATTTGTATAACAGTCGTGTTGTCTCGATGTTCAAGCAGGTTGGTTTAAATATGTGCATTAAAATGTTATTTTTCAGTTTTATGATATAGTTTTCCCGCTATAATGCGTACATAATGCAGGGAAATAGAGTTTGACTGGTTGTCGGATGGAAAACAATTATTTATACTGAACGGCATGGTTTGCAGTTTGTTATTTTTGAACTCGTCACAGGATTTCAAGACTGCAATTTCATATATAGCATATGATATTTAAGAAATTAGTGTGCGATGGTAGCCTTTTGATAAACGTTGCAGATTTTGACATTGTCGACGTTATAAAGCTGCAGTAGCCAGTGGCTACCCCGTACCCCTCATAAGATCTGAAAATCTGCTCGGCACAAGTATAATTATGTATACATAAATCGGAAAACTGCATTTTATCACAGTCGGGTCGAGGGAAAAAATAGATTTATAATTTTAGACATATGCAACAAATACACACGGCGATCATCGACGAGAGTTCGGCCGAAACGATTTATTTATCTAATGCATATATTATAGGTATATCGCTGCTCCGTATTCTGCCAGTATATGTACTTGAAAACTTTTTTTTTTTTTGTAGGCGAAAACGCTCACGCACTTCTACGGTATATACTCGGGAACAGGTATTTGGATCAATACGATCACGAATATTATTATTATCGGCCTGAAACACAAGACGCCTTAATGCAATTTATCTCCACGAGTGGAATGACACACACTATATATATACACGCACACACACACCTACCTACACTATAGACAGTACGCGTATAATATTATACAAAATCAATATGAATAGACGTTTTGGACACGCTGTAAAAATGTATTATAATGCGAAAGAACGAAAAATAAAACATATATCATCATATAAATAACAAATTGAGAATCGTATAATATATATTATTATATATGTATAGGTACCGCGCACATATACTATTAAGCGGGGAGGGGAGAAAAAAAAACCAAATGGTACGATTCATTTCCAAATTGACAGATAAAAAAAAATACAAAAATACAAAACGGAACGCAAAAAAATTAAAATCGGTCTCCGATGTCTGCTTATATTATTATCGTTGTAAATGAAAGCGTACATAGGTATGTGTAGCGGAGGAGATTATTATTATTTTTTTTCTTTATATTTTTTAAGGATAAAGCGACTGCATATTATGTATGCCCGGGCGTTTTTCAACCGTAAGTATTAATGTAATATATTGTTATGAAAAAACAAAATTAGTAACGACCAATAATATAGATATTGTTAGTTCATATAAAACCAAAGGCGGACTAAACTCAAAGGCGTTCAGTTAGCTGGCTTCAGTTAGAGGTCCGGATCCTTCTGAAATATTTTCAAAATACTAAAATAAAAAAAAAAGGTCAGAAATTTTGGTTCTATTTCTAGAACGGTGTGTTGAATACTCTCCAGTCCGCCCCTACAGTGTAAACTGAAACCGCATTACGCTGGTAAGAATATATTATTGCGTACTATAGTCAGATAATAAAAGTAATAAAATTGTATTTTCGAAAAAAAAAATAAATATTTCCACCGCAATTTCTCCGATCAAATTTATGAGTAGGTATAGTCGATTTGTCGAGCGTCTAAGCTCGTAAATTGCAAACGTTTAATGTATAGGTAGGTATATGGAAAAAAAAAATAAAAAAATTAGTACAATAATAATAATAATAAAGTATAAGTACCTAAGTACTTGTATATAATTTTTGAAACGAGTTGGAAAAAAGACGTAGTAGGTATTACAAAAAAAAAAATGTGTATTATTTTTTTTTACTTTTTTACTTTAACCTATATATGTTTAGATTCTGAGCGAAACGATGAGAAATGTATCGGTTTTACTATGTGAGTTTTTTTTTTATTTTTTTTTATATTTCCGTGAACGACTTCCGTGAACTTTCTTGTAGTGTATTGTTTTCGGAAATTTAATACTATTATACTGTGTACCCTGGTTAGAAAAAAATAATTTTTAATTTATATATTTTTTGAGAGTATCTTATGTACGCTATTCAATCTATATACCTGGGTAAGTAATTATTATTAATTTATTTGCTATAATTAGTTGATAATATATTCTCCTTCATATTTTAAAGAGGTTCGGATATAGGTTTCGTTTTAAAAAAGAAATTGTATACGTCAAGATTTTTGAAATACATTAAAACTATACACAGGTAGGTACATGACTGATTTCAGTGATTAATAAGTAAATAAATTTGAATTTAAAAATAGGTAGTCTTATAAAAATACAAATACTAAATAAAAGGCAAGTGGAGACAAATTATCCCTAAGCTCTCCCTTTTCCCCGATAAATAAGCCACCTTAACGGTCCAGAGGTTAGTTTTTAATAATTGCCTTGTACTTTTTGAAATGTTATTCGTGTTAAACAAAATAAAAAAAAATCAGTTTGCCGGTATACAATTAAAAACCGATTCAGCGTGTTGAGATTAGGACGTGTTATATAAGCAAATGACACATTTTGGTAAGATTATTATTATGTAATGTATCATTTAAGAACAACGGATCGTTAAGGGAGCGCATTTCGCAGATAGATAGACGAATTTATTAATGTAATTCGTCGTTGTAAACAATATAATACATAGGTATTTAATTTTTTTACCTTTCCTTTCATCGCCGGTCATTAAAATCTATTAGACGCCATTATTGTACATAGGTATACCCGTTTAGGTATAATAATACTCGACGCGCACATCTCTATGGGTATTTACGAGAATATTTAAAAACAAAAAAAGGACCCCGCCGAAGACTAATGACGACGACGACGGACGAGATTTCCTGGTGTCGTAAACTTATCGTCGTTCTCGTCGAATACCTATATGTATACGTATATATGTTCTCTCTGCACACGATCGTGTAAACAGACTTCGGGTCAATAAAACGCACACGTAAACAGATAATACACTGTATTATAGTTGTGCTTACACGACTTTTCCATTCATATAATGAAAACAAACCATTGCGCCACGTAATCTTATCGCTTCAAAAAAAAAAATCATAATCGCAACTTATCGATTTATCGACTTCACGATATCACGATTTTCGCGAACACTCGTAAAATAATACTGTGAGTATATATTGATGTTTTTTTGAAATACTATAACACCGTTAAGATGTCGCGAAAAACAACGTGTTCGCGGTCCATTTTGGTTTCGGGAATAGCCGTACGAACAAACTAGTATATAAAACGTCCTAAAAAAAGACGTCTCTAAAAGTGCGCCTAACGGATCTTATACGATTTGAAAAAGTGGAAAGAAACCGTCTAGTTCAATATACATAGGTACCGATAACATGACGGTTTTTACTACAAAAATAATTTTATTTACGTTCGGTACACCTATGAATAATAAATCAAAATTGCCGTTTTGTTTGATAAAAAAAACAAAAACAAAAACTATAGGAAAATGTTGTCTATGTGAGAAATAATGTAAATTTTCCTGAAAAATGTGCGTTAAAAAGCTGGCTGAATTTATCGAAAAATTATGTACGTTAATAAAAAATAATTCATAGTATCGTCTAAAACAATTCCGTTTTTCGTTTACACAGATACGTAAGAAGACGAAAAACGAAAAAATATGACAAAAATCGCAATCTCAAATTCGTGGACACCCCGAAGTTTTCCCGTCCGTTTTACAGTTCTGTGGGACAAATCGAAAACGTTCAATAACAGGACGTGTCCGGAAAAATCGGTTATCGTCGCCCGAGTCAAGTTTTAAATAATAATATTATTAAACGGAGACTTACCTGCAGGTGACCGATGCCGGCGCGTCTTCTAGTCAGTGTACAGGTGCAGTTTGCGCGGTATTCCCGGAGCACGTGCGACTGTCCTCTACGGTATAAACGGTATTATAATAACCGGCGAAAAACTAAAGAGATAGAGAAAGAGAGAGAGAGAGAGAGAGAGAGAAACAGAAACAAAAAACCCCCGATATTTTGTCCGTACTCGGGTCGTCGTCGGGGTCGCGTGCGTTTTGTGCGTCGTCCGGGCGGTAACCGCGCGTGTTTACGAGTGATCGCAAAATAAAAAAAAAAAATTAAAAAAAAAAAAAAAAACACTTAATACAAATCTTACGGCGAGATACAATATTAGGTTTATATTATATTCTACTATTACGATGGTATTGTTATTGTATTATTGTCAGACCGTCGATCGTCCGCGGCCGAATGATACCCGGCCCGGCGTTCCATCCTGGTTTTTACCCGTCTCCGGCGCGACGGTACGCCTCCCCCTCCCGTCGTCAGCCGTGACGGCGGCGGCCGTGGCAACAGGTAGGTAAGCGGCAACAGGTACGCGCACGCGGCGGTCACGGGGAGTCCCCGCGCGACTATACGCGCGCTGTTTTTTCATTATTATTACTGTTACCGTACGGTAAGTACGGCGTTTGAAAACTTAACGCGCTTTCCTCCCCCCCCCCATCCCCACCATTTATCCTCTTCCACTTCTGCGCTACTCTCATTCCTGTCGGTGCGCCCGCGGAACGCCCGGGTTTTCCTTCCGCCGCGAACACGGCAAAACCTAAAAATACGAAAAAATCGCACGCGCGCGTAAGTGGCGATTAAAATACGCCTGCGATATTATTGCACGCGATTTCCGTTTACCGAACACTTTCCCCTTCGTCGGCGTACGCGCGAGTTTCGATTTCGACCGTCCGTCCGGATGAGCGATAAATTATTTTTTTCGACTCTGTGTGGTAGGTATGACGCGCGCGAGTGTGCTTATTTCGACTGAATATTTAAAAAAAAAAACCCCTCGTTTTCGGTACAGCGATCGTGACGTGGGTGTCTAGCTACAGGCGCCTCGTTTTTCGAGAAATTCTTTTCGGAATTGTTATTTTTAGCGATGATCGAAAATCTACCGAAGACCGGGAAAACTATCGCGGTCGGTGACTAATAATAATTCGATTTTGTTTGGTTTTTGTCGTTCAGCAAAATTAATAATCGTATAAAGATTCGACATTTTCACCGATAACGACGCGATTCCCGAAATATTTTTTACTATTTTCGAATATTATTTCTAAAATTATAATATTTGACATTTAAGAGATTTTCTCCTAGATTTAGATATTCGGATGTTTTACGTTTCGTTTCTCGCGTAGGATTTTTTTTTCTTTCGCTTATTACGTATTGACGAGTGAAACAGTTATTCGTTTTTTTTTCAAGTTAGGATCGAGTTATGTTTCACGACGACAACGAAGATGGTATTATTGTTTCATTAGGTTTTTTCAGTTTTTCGTTTTTTTTTTTTCATTAAGATCGAGCACTTTCGTAAGTTGTCAATATTGACGCATGCACGACTCGTTTTTTTCTAATTTATCTTATTTATCTTATCTTCATCTGATTTACACGAAATTATGACGTTGTCGTCGTAGGAATTTAATTTGAATTTCGGATAGTAGAAAAAACATTAAATTCACAAAAATAATATTGTCTCTCACGATTTTTTATTTGCTATAGTGATTGTTATTCAACACGCGAATAAGTAGGTAGGTAAATCAAATTATTATTACATATATTTTTTTTTTTAATTTCTAAAGTGTTTTTTTTTTTTTTTGGCCCGACTATAGGATTATTGTATTGTAAATTGGAACGGATAACAATTTTATTTTATTCAAAAAAATTAAAAATATAAATATCTGTAAATACATAAATGTTATATTTGTATACAACGATAAATTATTGCTGACGAAATACTATTCTGAGTGAAATTCGATTGAAGTGCCGTGCCGTGATAATAAAAAGTTAATAAAACTAAAAAATGTCCCTAGAAATAGCTTAAAAGTTGCCCAAATATTTTAAAAATTTTACCACATAAAAAAATACCAATATAAGTAAACATTCAGTAAACATTACAGGTCTAAAAGATTATTTTTAACTGAATTAAAAAACAAAAACAAAACCATAAATAATGAAACTTCTATTGTCGTAATTTATCCATATTTCCTATAAGTTTTTTCCGGTATTTCTTAATTAATATGAAAACTACTTGGAATATCTAAAAATTACCTCCCAAAAAACACTAAAAAGATCCAATATGCTACAAAAAAAAATCACTTAGCATTTTTTGATCGAAGCGAAAATTCTGGTAAAAAAGTTGTTAATAGACGAAAAAAAATGTAAAAACATCACTCATCATAATAAAACATACACACATTCCTCTGTCCACTCTGTATCAAAAAATATAAAGTTATTTTTAGGATTTATTAAGCTACTCTGAGCACTCTGGTTTATTATTATTACACGAGTACGCGGACAACTTTCTACGTTTGTAATATGTACGTGAAATAACTTTAACGTTAATCGTTTTACACAAGTTCCGATGGATTTTACATACATAACTGGTATTTTTATTATTTATTTATAATTACACGGTAGTTGTTTTTCTCCAGCAGATGCAAATTAATTTAGAAAGGAGCGAAATTATAATAATAAGTCGGTTTTATAAAGTCAATTATAAGTTAAGTATTTAACAAAAAAAAAAAAAAAGATTTTCTCTATGATGGAACAGCTCGATGGTGGTTATGGTTCGTTTCCATGTATACGAAAAGTTCTCACCGTTACATTATATTATATTTATAATTTTTGAAATTATTTCATTTGTTATGCATTTTATGCATGTTTATCTACGCTGTGGAAACCGTATTTATAACTAAATATCGAAAAAGGGACTATAAAGTGTTATAAACACTTTTTTCTTATTTTATTCTATACAATTTACAATAAGTATAAATACGTGTTGTTGTTTTTTTTTTTTTTTGACGTCATCATATCGCGGTAGGTAAGCTGTAAACGACCAACGTGTTAACAAATCATTATGGATTGTGTAATTTCGTTTGATACTCATCATCCGGATCTGCTGCATCAGTTAATACGCTACAACCGCAAAGACACGGTTGATAATAATCGCAGTATATAATTCAGAAGAATATTTTTTACGAAATCTCCCTACAGTAAAAAATGATATCTGGCGTAATTAAAATAGAAACTAAACTGATATTATATAGATCGAGCTGGTTATTAAATATTATAATCATGTGAATAAATCTCGTGGTTGTTACTGTATACATATATAAGCAGTATACCTGGTATACACTCGGTTTGTCATCTGATAACGTCAAAGACAAAAACAAAATAACTGTTCAAAGTGATTTTTTTTTGTTGATAACCCAGATGTTCATTTATTCGTGTAATTTTATTAAGAGAAAACAATTAGACAACGATCAAATAACTCGAATGTAGAGTAAGCACGGTTAAAACTCTTATTCGTGAGACGTCCTTAATGACGTCGTAAGAAACGTATAGGCAAGTTGTCATTGACGAGAACGATTATCTTTGTATAGTACAAGAATTAAATATTGTGTTTTCGTTTTTAAGTTTAAAGGATTTAAAAAAACAAAAAAATAATACGTGATCTTATCGAACAAACACTTCACACCGTGTCCACTATACATTTCTTGGAACATCGTATTTATGAACGTGAGATAGAAAAAATACTGTTTTGGTATTATACACATAGGTACACGTATCTCGCGTTATTCGCTTTGACATACGCTAGTTTAAATATAATTTATGTACAGGGTGTATCTGCAGGATTTGTCAACTTCCTATGTATATATTATACTATTGTACTTGTATAGGAAAATATCAATTTTGCAGGCATACCGTATGTAATAAATAATTATTATTCAATAGTTCTATAATATATTCTCTGCTTGAATTCCGTTCGGCTTTTCGTGATTGGAGTCGATCGTTGTCTAACTGGAAAATTTAAAAGATTATATCTGCTTTATAATATTGCAGTGTACTAGAAAAATTGTCAACCGAAAATAAAAAAAAAGTCAAAAATAAAATACCATCGATTTAAAACTATCGGTATAATAAAAACATTAACGACGTCGTTCAGAATCTGAAAAGAAAAATACTCGATGTTCATTTCGAAATTAAAAATACCGCTAAAATAAGTGAGTTAAATTACTAAGTTCAACATTTCGCGCAATTTACATTTTCTACGAAAAATACTTTTTGAACGGTAAACGTGAAAGTTTCTCCCGCACAATTTACAACAACGATTTATTGGCAGTTGAACATTTTTAGAGAGGCTTGATGATTTGTGTACATAGTTATTGAAAGTTTCCCAATATGCAAAAGTATACCTATTGGTATAACGAGGAATGCAGTTAGTATAGGTCCCGGATTTTACTAATTTGGAGTGTTTGGTTTTTATTTTTAAACATAATAATATGTATAGGAGGCGGTGACAAGAAAGAAACGGTTTTTGATTAATGCGTATCGTATTATAAGAAAGTCGGGGATGAAGAAAATGAAGGCGAAGGTCTTCAGTTGTTGTAAAATGATCGCGAGACTACGCGGGTGAAAGATGTCCGAGAGAGGAAAAAAAAACGAGAAAAGAGAGCAGATAGCGGCAATATTATATAGCAAAGAGAGCGTTTGTTAAATTGTATAATTCTGGGCTTCCATTAAAATCGTTTTGTCGAGCGAATACATATAGGTACGCTATATAACATAATATTATAATATTAGTATGGTACGTGCATTTACATTTAAATTTTTTTAGGAGAGCGAATGAAATCAAAAAATCGAAAATATTATGATAAAAGAGGATGAACCAACTCTGGTTACTACATAATCGGTTCTCTTGATTATGTACTGGAATTGGAAACGATAAAAAAAAAAAAATAAGCAAACCGGAGTGTAGGAATTCCTAAGTAGGCGATTATAAGTATAATATAAGCAATACAAATTTCAATCCGGATAAATCGCATCTGTTATTTAATATAAATACATAGTTACGTATTCAATTTTTTCCACGAGAAAATTATAACATTATTATTGCGGTCCACTGCAATCGTTTAGTAGTCCGGTAACACTCGAAACACGGTTTTTTTTTTTAAATTCAATATAAATAAGCGTCCGTTTCAGCAGTATCCACGTACCTATACGAATGTGTATTAGGTACTTTTACCGCGATACCGCGGAAGTTACCTATAATACCTATATAATATTATAGTTTCTAAATTTCTATTTTGTGTTTTAAAAGCGGCCATCGTCGTAATAAACGTTTCGGACGATTCAAACGCGTTGATACTTGAGTAGATCGTATATTTAAAAAAAAAAAAACCTATTTATTATAATATTATTA